TCCAAAGTCTCTGTAAATTTTCACTGAAATTAATTATAAAAAAAAAATAGAGTTATAAAGCGCTGTTAAGCTCTGTTCTTGCTTTGTATGTGGTGGAAGAGGACTGTCCCGTGCTGGGAGTCTAGGACCATCCCCTGCTGGGGTTTTATGTGCTCTGGAGCCTGTGAACGGTAAAGGAGCTGTGACCTCCAAGCTCCATTGGCTGATTTCAGTGTCTTCTCCACTCCAAAGCCTCTGGCAGAGGAATTGCTCCCGGAGTAGGCAGTACTGTGTACTGGAGGGAGGACAGTGTGATGAGGGCCCACTCCACCTTCAGGGCCCTCCAGGCGTGGCTTCTGAACACGGTTTCACAAGCAGCTGCTGTGTAGCAGCTAGCTACAGGAAGATGGACTGTGTCGTCCTTTATGGAGGTGCTTTGTCCTTTTGAAAGCCTGAATGAAAAGTTTTTCCTTTCTCCCCAGGATCTCACTTTAATTCTGCCTCATTAGATTTGACTAGTCACTGCAGTTTTATCTGTTTTGCTTTATGTAGAGTTGGTCCCTGAGGTTCTCTGGGTATAAGGTCTTGGACAAAAAAGGGCCGAATAAATGTGCTTCAGAAGGACAGAATACAATTAGACACACTGAAACATGTTTTTTATTTTTGCTCTCAAATCCTTTTGTCATAAAAATGTAACTCTAAAAACAACTATGAGATATCATCTCACCCCAGTAAGAATTGCAAAATTTAGCAAATATCAAATGCTGGCGAGGTTGTGGAGAAATTGGAACCCTTGTTCACTGTTGGAAGTGTAAAATGGTTCAATCACTGTGGAAGACTGCATGACGCTTTCTCAAAAAGTTGCAAATAGAGATACCATTTGACCCAGCAATTTCACTGCTGGGCATTTACCCTAAAGAAACCATAACTGCCACCCAAGCAGATATATGCACACCCATATTTATTGCAGCCTTGTTCACAATAGCAAGGAGTTGGAAACAATCCAAGTGCCCATCAACAAACGAATAGATAGAGAAGCTGTGGTGTATTCACACAATGGAATACTATGCTGCATTGAAAAACAAGGAACTCATGCAATATTATTCAAAATGGATGATCCTGAAGGACACTATGCTGAGTGAAATATCTCAGTCACAAAAGGACAAATATTTCATAGGGCCACTGTTGTAAAACGGGACTGACATCAGGGTTGAGGAAAGACAGCAAAGAAGGGGAGGAATGATGTATATTGTATTGAAACAGATGAGGGAGAGAACTGTTTAAAAGGGACATATGAATGGGTATTCTTGTCATTACAGAAGTCCAGAGAGAAGGCTGCATAGTGGAGTGGATGTGGCGGGGGAGGGATTGCATAACAATGAAAGAGTTTTTCTTTCTTTTCAAGGAGAAGAGTTAATTGGGGGGAGGGGGTGGGTAAGAAGAAAAGTGCAACAATGAATGGCTGGAAACCCTAAGTCTCTGTAAACTTTCATTAAAAGAAAAAAAAAATAGGAATTAAAAAAACCACCAAAAAAATGTGACTCGAGGCTTGTATGAAAAATTTAAAAGGTCAGAATAAAACTTGTTCCTAGGTGGTAGCAGTTAAAGATGTCCCAAATTGTCTAGTTTATCCAAACTGCTCTACCACTCCACCGTCTTGAACATCCAGTTTTCTGCCTCTTCTCAGTGCTCTCCCACCCATCTTTGTCTTGGGGTTTGGCAATTCACTGCAGCGTCCCATAGAACTTAAAAACTGTCAGGGAAATAAATGGCTCATGTGGTTGTGGAGGCCCACATGTCCCCCTTCTCCCCTGGTGCGCCTGTAGATGACAAATCCACACTGACAGGTCAGACAACAGGTTGCTAGCTCCCAAGGCTGAAAGTCGGTGAATTAGTCCAGATGATAGGCTCCAGTCCCACTGGTTCAAGTCCTGAGAGTCACAGGAGAATGAAGCCAGGTATAAGATCATTCCTGTATCTGGCATGCAGACCACACCTGCAGGGAAAGCAAGGGTGGTGATTGAGTCCTACCCTCCACAAAGGTGAGGACTCAGTGCTATTCCACTCTCATACATCCCACTCTAATTCATGTACAGACAGCTCACTCCCAAATGAGGCCACAACTGGCACAGAAGCCTGGATTTCCTGTACATCAGGAATGGACAACTCTGATCAGAATAATTGACATTAACTCATTGTACTGTGAGGCTCAGAGCTTTTACCCTTAACTAATTTCTCTTGGACTTTTTCCTGTCTTCAGGCTTTTGCTATAAGTACTTCCAAGTTTGTTCAGTTGAAGGTCATGAGATACAGGGGAGATAGCTTCTGTACCTTCTGGAGTTGGGCGATATAACACCTCCTGGAGCAGTACCCAGATCCCAGTTCAAGACCCAGCTCTGCTGCTTGCTGCCTGCGTGACAGCTTATCTGTAGACTATGCCCTGGATCACCTAGCCTACTCTCAAAGGGCTGTGAATATTAAATGCAAAATACTGACGTACAGTAGAATTTCTTTCTTTTCCCCCTCCCAATCCTTTGTGTGTTTGTTTCTAGAACAGTGATTGCCTCCAGGCTGGAGGCAGTTTTTACCTTCTGGAGTAAATTTTATCAATGTCTGGTGACATTTTTAGTTGTTACACATGAGGTGATAGAGATGGGCTCTTGGCATGTAGTGGGCAAAAGTTAGAGATGCTGCTCAATATCCTGTACTACACAGGACAGTCCTCACAGCAGGGACCTTCCTGTTCCAAATGTCAGTCATGTTGAGGAACTCTGTCCCGTGTATGCTATTTGCTGGGGAGGAAATGGGATGGTGAAGAAATTAAGACTGTTAACAGCTTCAGTTTGTTTGACTCCACAGTCAACATTCTTGACACCAGCAGTCAGGAAATCAGAAGACAAATTGCAATGGGAAAATCTGCTGTCAGGGACCTCTCCAGAATAATAAAGAGCAACGATGTCAGTAAGGTGATTCAGGCCATGGTCATCACAGTTACTTGCTATGCATCAGAAAGCTAGACAGTGACTAAGGATGAGAGGAGGATTGATACCTTTAAGTTGTGATACTGGAGAAGAGTATCGAATATACCATAGACTGCTAGGAGAACAAACAGGTTCATCCTAGAGAGGGTGAAACCAGGCTGTGCATTGGAGCCAAGAATTCTGAAGCTCCATATGACTTATTTTGGGCATGTTAATAGGTGTAACTGGTCCTTGGAAAGGGACATCATGCTTGGAAGAATGGAGAGACAGCAAGAAAGGAAGACCCTGGATGAGATGGATTGACTCAGTGTCTGAGATAAGGGGGGTAGGTATGTCAGAGACAGTAAGACTGGCTCAGGATAGAACAAGATTCAGAGGGTGTACATAGGATCACAATGAGTTGCAGTGGACTCAACAGCCCATAACAATGGCCAAAGTACTGTATACTGTACCTGTTCAGTTGAAAATAACTCATAACATAGATGGCTTGTTGTGTGTGTAGAGTTTTTTGTTTTCATTAAAATACATATTTCCTAGGAGTAGTATATTGCATATGACCCAGCAATGCCACTACCAGGAAAATACCCCAAGGAAACAGAACTGATACACAAACACCAGTGGCCGTAGTAGCATTATGCACAATAGCAAGAACATGGAAACAACCCAGATAACCATTAACAGCTGACTGGATTGAAAAACTGTGGTACATTTACACGATGGAGTACTATGCAGCACTCAAGAGCAGTGATTAGGAAAAACACTTGATAACATGGGAAAAGCTAGAGAGCATTATGCTGAGTGAACTGACTGAGGCATGTAAGAACAAATACTGTATAAAAACATTATTGTAAAAATAGAAGGATAACCTGAAAAGATGGGGTAATGGTGGGCCTAGCTCAATGGTGATTGATTTTATAAAACCCAGTCTATGGATATGAAACGTGATGTCAATGAAAGAAGGTGTGAAACACCAAAAAAAAGCCAAAACAAAACACTGTACATGAATAAAAAAAAGAGATTATTTGTAACTATGTTATTTGGAATTTCTGAATATATTTTCCCTTGAAATAATAATCATTTTTAAATTATTAAAACCAGATTAATTAAAAAAACAAAAAAACAGCTTAATAAAACCCCATATAACAATAGAAGAAAATCCAGAAGGCTAACCAGTGAGATGTGTATGGACATACAAAGATGGACGAGGAGGGAAGGGGCAGGAGGTTTGAGGGTGGGGATGGGGGGACATCATGGGATTGAAGAGTTCAGTGTGTAGAGGGATGGAGTGGGGTGGGGAGTGTACATGAATGAAGCATAATAATAATAAAAAAAAAGTTTATTTCCGAATAGGCTTATATTCCTAGCTAAAAGTCAGTGAAAATGTACACCAGCTATTATTTCTGAATGGTAAGGCAGTGGTGACTTGGTTCTTTGGTGCATTTCTGATTTGTCTGTTTCTTCTAGGTGGCCTGGGCCTCTCCAACACCTTGTATGCGCGGTTAGGGGAAATCACCGCCCTGGACGCATCTATTACTGTGACCTTGTCAGCGCACCAGGCTATTGGCCTTAAGGTTATCTATGGGGGTTCCTCTCACAGCCTTTCTTTCTTTGGGGTATATGCCTAAGTAGTGGGATTGCAGAATCAAATGGCATTTCTGTTCATAGCTTTCGTAGGAAGTACTGAACAGCTTTCGATAGTGGTTGCACCATTTTACATTCTCACCACAGGGTACAAGTGTTCTGATCTCTCCATACCTTTGCCAGCATTCAGCTTTATTGAACATTCTCATTGTTGTTTTGATTTGCATCTCTGTAATAGCTAATGATCTTGAGCATTTCTTCATGTGTTTGTTGGCTCTCCGAATGTCTTCCTTGCTGAATTATCTGTTCATGTCTGCTACCCATGTGGTAATTGGATTGTTTGCCTTGAGGTGTTGGAGTTTTCTGTAAATTCTGGAGATGAATCCCTTGTCAGATGTGTTATTGCCAAGTATTTCTCAATCTGTAGGTTCTCCTTTTATTCTTTTGTAGAAATTTTTTTATACACTGAAGGATTTGATTTTTAGGAGGTCCCAATTATCTGGTTTATCTTCTGTTGATTGTACATTTAGTCATATTTGATTGTCTAATTAGGTCATAGGGAGCTCTGATGACCTAGTGGCAAGAAGTTGCGCTGCAATACCAAAGGCACGCGGTTCGAGGCCACCAGCTGCTCCGCAGGAGCAGGATGGACAGTCTCCTCCCATGTGATTAACTGCTACTGGAAACCCGCCGGAGGGTCAGCAATGGGTCAGTTCCAACTTGACAGCACAGAACAACAAGAAGTTAGGTTATAGTGTGTTGTTAGGTATCCTCGAGTCAAAACTAACTCATAGCTGACTCTCCAGTGGATTTTCAGCGATTGCAGGAGATTGCCCATTTTTTTTCTCCTTAGAAGCTACTGGTGAATTAAAACTGGATTCAGACTGTGTCTGGGTTGGCCTTGCAACTAAGCCACCAGAGCTTGCTAGGTCATAGTTTAGGGCTCCAAAATTTGCCCTAGTGTTCTTTTTTGATGTATTTTATGGTTTTAGGTTTGTGCCTAGGTCCTTGGTCTGTCTTGAATTAGGGGTTTTTGTTGTTTTGGGGTTTTGGTTTTTTTTTTTTAGTTTTTTTTTTTTTTTTTTTTTTTTTGTGTGTGTGTGTGTGTGTGTGTGTGTGTACCGTCAAATCGGATCCGACTGTACAAGAGGAGATTACCCCTCCTTCTCCTGCGTACCTCTGGGATTGCAGTACAGTTTCTTGCCACTAGGCCACCAGAACTCCCTTTGAATTAGGTTTTGTATTTGGAATGAGGTGTGGGTCTTAAGAGTTTCAGTTTTCTGCAAATACATACCCAGTTTTGTCAGCACCATTTGTTAACGAGGTTTTTTTTCTCTCCACTGAATGGAATTCATCTGTTGTCAAAGATCAGCTGTCCATAGTTGGGCACGTGTATTTCTGGGTTCTTGACTCTGTTTCATTCTGTGTAACTCTTGCTGTACCTGGACCCTGCTGTTTGGGCTTTTTTTTTTTTTTTTTTGACCCTGCTGTTTTGATTACTGCAGTATTGTTGTAGGTGTTGAGGTCAGTAAGTGTAAGGCCTTCTTCTTCATTGTTCTTCAGTCTCACTTTGCTTTTCAAAGGTCTCTTTCTTTTCCATTTGGAATTAGTGAATATTTTTTCCATCTTTTTGAAAACTATTGATGGTATCTGGATTCAGATTGCTTTGAATCTGTAGATGGCTTTATGTAACATTGCCATTTTCACAATTTTAAGTCTTCTGACCCATGAGCACAGTATTATTTCCATTTGTATAGATGTCTTTAGGTTTCTTGTATTACTGTTTGGTAGTTTTCTTTGTAAAGGCCTTTTGTATCTCTGGTTAGATATTTTCATCTTGTGGGTGACTGTTGTAAATGGCATTATCTACCTTGTTACTTTTTCAGAGTTCTCTTTGTTACTGTAGAAGAATCCTACTGATTTTTGTATAATGATCTTGTACCCTGCCACTTTGCTGACTCAGTCTATTAAATTCTGTACATTCTTGCTGAGACTTTGGAATTTTCTAGATATATAGATTATGTCATTTCAGAGATAGTTTTACTTCTTTTTTGCCAATTCAGATGCCTTTTATATCCTTTTCTTGCATTGTTGCTATGAGAAGGGTTTCAGTAATAATATTGAATAGGGGTGGTGATAAAGGGCAACCTTGTCTGGTTCTCATTCACAAGGGGAATGTCTTCAGTTTTACTCTGAGAGTAATATTAGCTGTTGGTTTTGTAAATATGCTTTTGCATATATTGAAGAATTTCCCTTATTCTTATTTTGTTGGACCTTTTTTAATCAGGAAAGGGTGTTGAATTTTGTCAAATGCCCTTTCTGCATTAATTAAGATGATCATGGGGTTCTTTTCCCTTGATTTATTTGTGTGGGGCAGTACATTGATTGTTTTTCTATTGTTGAACCATTCTTACATGTTGTTTTTGTCAAGTGTTGTTGAGCCAAGTGCAGCTCATACCAACCCTGTGAACAACAGGTCTGAACCCTGTCGTGTCCTGACACACTTGAGCTCGTTGCCACAGTCACTGTGTCAGTCCACCTGATTGAGAGTCTTCCTCTCTTTTGCATCTCTCCACCTTGCCATGCATGATGTTTCTCCAAGAAATAGCATCTCCTAGCAATATGCCCAAAGTATGTGACTAAAGTTTAATCTTCTTTGCCTCCAAGGAGCACACTGGCTGCACCTCTCCAAGACATACCTGTTTGTTCTTTTAGCAGTCCATAGGGTAATCAGTACTCTTCTCTAGCACCACAGTTCAAAGGCTTCAGTTCTTTTTCTGTCATCCTTATCCACTGTCCAGCTCTCAGCAGCAAGTGATTGAAAAGACCGTTCCCTGAATCATGTGCACCTTAGTCCTCAAACTCACATTATTGGTACCCAAGAACTTAAAGAGGTCCCTAACTACAGACTTTACCAGCGCAATATATCTCCTAATCTCCAGACTACTGGAACCAAATGTATTGATTGTAGATCCAAGAAAGAAAAAGTTGTAGACAGTTTCAGTCTCTTCTCCATCTAACGTGATGTTGCCAAAGCCAGGCAAAGAGAGATGGTGAAGTTGGAGAAAAGCTCATATAGATGATATCTCAACGTCAAGAAAACAAAAATTCTCTCCTCTGGTTTCTTAATGTTGAGATATAATCCATGTTGAAGGCTATAGTCTCTGATCTTTTGCAGCAAGCACTTCAAGTCCTCCTCACTTTTAGCAAGCAAGGTTGTGTATTATGCATCATGCAGGCATCTTCCTCCAATCCCGATGTCACATTCTTTAGAGTCCAGCTTCTTGAATAATTTGTTCAGCATACAGACTGAATAGGTAAGGAGAAAGCATACAACTTTGACATACGTCTTTCTTAGTTTTAAATCGTGCCGTTTTCCCTTTGTCTATTGAACAACAGCCTTTTGGTCTAGGTATAGTTCCTGTATGAGCACAATTAGGTGTTCAACGTTAGCCATAATTTGTTGTGATCCACATAGTCAAATGCCTTTGCATAGTCAATCAAGCACAAACATACATTCTTCTGGTGTTCCTTGCTTTCAGCCAGTATTCTTCTGGCATCAACAGTGGTATTCCTGCCTCTTCTAAATCCATTTTGCACTTCTGGCAGTTCTCTGTCTATGCACAGTTCTAGTCGTTCTTGAACGATCTCTGTCTAGATCCTTGCATGCTTGATATAATTTCTACTTGGTCATGATAAATGATTTTTTTTTGATACAGTGTTATTTTCCTTTGACTAGGATTTTCTGAGAACTTATGCATCTCATAAGGAATGTTGGTCAGTAATTTTCTTTTTTTGTGTGTGGTTTCTTTGCCTTGCTTTGGTAACAGTATTATGCTTGCTTCATAGGATGAGTTTGAGAGTATTCCCTCTTCTATATTCTGAAATAGATTGAGTTGGTGCTAAGTGTGGTTCTACCACTCTGTATTTTCGTGCAGACCACCTCTCCATGGTTAAAATTCTGACCCTTTACAGCTGTGGAGATGGAGGCTTAGAAAAGGGAGGTTCTTTGCCCAGCAGCCTCAACATACAGATGTTGTAGTGAAGTTCCTGCCAGCTCTGTTGCTGTGCTGACCCCCCAGGCTCATGCTGCCTAGGCATATGGCCCTAGTGTGGTCTTCTTAGCAGCTAGCTCTCTGTGCTTCCCATCATTTACCCTTTATTAACTGAGTGGTCAGGTCTGTGTCCATGGTATTTTCTTGGTGTGTTTTTTTTCTTCGCTCTAGAAGTAGTTCTTGTTAGGTGCTGACAAGTTAAGTATGACTCAGCGAACCTATGAACAGCAGATCTGAACCCTGGCCTGGCCTGTACCATCCTCATAATCTCTGTCTCACTTGAGTCCATTGCTGCAGTCACTGTTTCAATTCATCTGGTCGAGGGTCTTTCTCTCCTCTGTCATCCCTCCACCTTTCCAAGCATGATGTCCCTTTCCAAGGAATAGCCTCTCCTAGCAAAATATGTGAGACAAAATTTTATCATCTTTGCTTCCAAGGAACACTCTGGCTGCACCTTCTCCAAGACATCTGCTTGTTCTTTTGGCTATCCATGGGATATTCCATACTCATCTCCAACACCACAGCTCAAAGGCATCAGTTCTTCTGTCGTGCTCATTCATTTCCCAGCTCTAAGCAGCATAGCAAGTGATTGGAAAAATAGGCACATTTTTCAGTCTTTTGCATCTCTGCAGCTGTCTGTGTTTGGTGTTTTTTTAGGGGATCATCCTGACAGGCACTGAGGAACAGAAGACCAAGTACTTGCCCAGACTGGCGACGGGGGAACACATCGCAGCCTTCTGCCTCACAGAGCCAGCCAGGTCAGCCTCTTGGCTAGATAGACCTCATAAAAATAACCTTTGCACTTTCTAAGGTTCACTTGGGACAAAGAACTATTATTGTTCAGTGGTGACTTCTATTACTTCTCTCTCTGAAAATCTCCTCAAGAATGAATTCAGCAACTTTTTTTTTGACAGTTCTTTCCATTTTATGTCTTTATTATGTTCCTCTCTCCTAATGAGACTTAGAAATGTGATCGTGTACCTGCCAGCACCTATTAAATAACGTTTTTGCAGCATATGTTTACGTATAGTAATACACTCAGACTCCCAGGCAGCTTTGAGAAGGTGCCAGATGTGCAGCATTGTCCCTGCTTTGCCGATTAGGAACTGATGGTTTGCCATGAACTCAGCATTATACAGCAATAGAGGGCAAGAGAGGGTAAGGAGGACTCGGGACTTCTGATGGCCAGCCCATTACTTGAACTGCACTTTATCCCACTTCCCTTCAAGTAGAAACCTGGAAACTACCATCCATGGAAAAGTTATTATTTGATAGCTGGTTGATGTTGCAATTACGAGAGATTTCTGTTGTTGTTGTTGTTGTGTACTGTCGAGTCAGAGCTGATGCATAGCTGGTTTTCAGAGGCAATAAATTGTACGAGAGATTACCCTTCTCTCTTCTTTGGAGCAGCTGGTAGATCCGAACTGCATGCCTTTAGGTTGACAGCACAGTTCCTTACTACTAAGCCATGAGAGCTCCCTGTGTATGTGCCCCCCACCAGCTGGTGTTCTTCCCTTGGCTCCTCTTTCTCAACCCCTTTGGGCAGTTGGCTCTAGATATCTTACATTGCTAATTTTAAAAAGAATTTTTAAGCCAAAATTCCTAAGTGTTTTGTTTACCTCAACTCTCTCAGGTTATCTCCTGATCCTGGTAGGATTTTGGTGTTGTGGATGTGGAAGGATCTCCCCACTTTTGCTTCCAGGTTCCATACCACCTCATTGGGCGTCTTCCTCCTGGGGTGACTGAATTCACCCTGTGGGGAACGCAGATGAGCTCATTTGAAGCACACATCTCAGTGTGTAAGCTTCAGCCAGGCTTATTTTCACTGCCACTTCTTTTACCTGAAATACTGGACAAATCCAGCCTGCTTTTGGTAAATAATAGGGGGGTTTTGGTTATATGAATTTACTAATATCATGTAAGCATAGTAAATTTTTCAGTTGTAAATATCAGTTATGTTGAATTCAGCTATCTCAATAATTGCTTTTTTAAAATATACTGTCCAGAAATGAGGTATCCAGTAAATATTAGTTTAAGAAAAGTGGTTTTCTTCTCATCATTTACTCTCACAAAGCTGTATTTGTATTAACAGTGTCCTTGGTGGCTCTGGTGGCCTGATGGGTAGGCAACAGTGCTGCTAATCTAAAGGGGACACTTCTTAGTTTGAATCCCCAGCTGTTCCCCAGGAGGAAGATGGGCAATATCCTCCATGCAGCAGGCAGCCTCTGAAAACCCATTGGGTCAGCTCCGAGTCGGTTCTGATTTCGTGGCAATGGAAGTTCGAATCATTGGTTTATTTCTTTATTTGAGTGAAAGTTTACAAACCATAGTAGTTTTTCATTCTAAAACCTTTTGTTTTAGAACACTGAAATTACCAATTTCATTTGATATTTCATACATATTTTTATAACATTAATTGCAGAGGTGGTGGTGTGTACTGTAGAGTCAGAACCATCTCACAGCTGATCCTCCAGCGAGTTTTCAGAGGCAGTTAATTGCACAGGAGGAGATTGCCCCGCCTTCTCCAGTGGAGCAGCTGGTGGACTTGAACCTGTTCCTTTGGGACTGCAGCACAACTTCTTGCCCCAGGCCACCAGAATTTAATGAATTCAAGATATCTGATTGACCTCTTCCTGGGTATTGCCTTTCCCTTTATTTATTCATTTTTACTCCCCTCCGACTCCTGGAATGATTCTATCTGTGAACCTTTCTTTAGCTTTTTGTAATAATGAACTTATGCCGTGGGCATTCTTTTGCGACTGACTTATTTTGATGAGCATAATGTCCTAGATACATCCCTGCTGTGCAGTGTTTCATGAATTCTTTATTGTTGTTTAGTGTTACATAGGGTGCCTCTGTATAAGTGTACCCTAGTTTCTTTATCTGTTCATCTGTTGATGGACACTTTGCTCTTGTAATAATGCTGCATTCACCACACAGCCATTTGTTTACAGATCGCCTGCCTCTGCTTTCATGTGGCAGTGGTAACGTTGAGCTGTTGAGACAGATTTCTAGGCAGCCTACAAAGGCGTGTGTTTATCTCGCCTTTTATTTTCACAATTTGCCGGCCCCTTTATTAAAGTCTGAGGGGATTCTGGTGGCAGAACCCGTAGGGTGTTGTGCTGCTAACCCAAAAGTTCAAACCCACGGCAGCTCCGTGGGAGAAAGATGGGCAGTCTCTTCCCATTTGACTTAGAGCCTCAGAAAGCTAATGGACGATCAGCTGTGAGTCAGCTCTGACTCAGCAGCAGTGATTTTGAGTCTTTTATTAGTCATTAAAGTATTAAAACCGTCTATTTTCAGGCCATTTGTATTTATTCTCAGCATTATTCTATCTCAACCATGCGTTTCTGTTCCTGCAGCGGGAGTGATGCTGCATCTATCCAGACCAGGGCCACATTAAGTGAAGATAAGAAGCATTACATTCTCAATGGCTCTAAGGTACCGCTCATAGCCTGCCGAGGATCTCGTCACAGTCATTTGTTGTTTACAGCAACTACCCATCAGGCACCAGGAATGACAAGATGCACACATCCCCCCTCCACATACGCCGAGTGCGTGACACCGTGTAACAGCTGCCTCCCTAAGCTGCTTGCTTTCCTTAATTGTTTTTATGACACAAAATTTCAAACCTTTGCAAGTATAATATAGTAATCTTCGTAAGTACCCAGTTTCTGCAGTGAATAGGTTCTGTCACCATCCCCATCTACTTTTTCTTCCTAAAAAGACAAAATCATACCACCATTATCATACTTTTTAAAAGGATCCACAATTAGTACCCTTGGTACCAGCAGTCAGGAATAAGAAGATGCATTGCACTGGGGAAATCTGCAGTTAGGGACCTCTCTAAATTATTGAAGAGTAATGTTGTCAGTTTGAGTACAAAGCTGTGTCTGATTCAGGCCATAGTCTTTCCGATTTCTAGCTATGTTCTGAAAGCTGGATAATGTGCTCAAAGGTGAAATTTTAGCATTCTTCACTCCAAGGACCACTGTGTCTACACTTCTTCCAAAATAGTTGTTTCATGGTATGTTCTGTATTCTTCACATGCACCACAATTCAGAGCCATCAATGATTCTTCCATCTTCTTTATTCATTGTCCAACTTGGACAAGCAATTAAAAATATTCTGGTTTGGTTATTAGACATACCTTAGTCTTTAAAGCGACATCATTGCTCTTTATAATTTTAAAGAGCTCCTTGGCAGCACATTTGCCCCATGAAGTATGTCATTTGACTTCTTGACTACTGCTTGCATGAGTATTGATTATGGATCCAAGTAAGATGAAACCATTAATAACAATGGTGATTAGAATGCAGAAACAAAGAAGAAAGATTGGTCGTCTTATTATTCAAGCAGCAATAAATTTCCCAGATTGTCTCAAAATTAAAAAAAAAAAATGCTGGTTTGCTTGAACCCAGATCTCCTAAGTTCCAGTACATTGCAATTTGTTGAGAAGTCTCTTCTTTCCCCCTCACTATCCCTCCACTTACCTCCGTTACTTTCCCCCTCTTCTCCCTCCCAGGATCCTGGCAGTTTAGTAGTAGAGCCTGAGCTGCTGTTCTTTTCACTCTCTTCTGCCCTGGTCACCTGGGTCTCTTGGGAAGATCCTTGACCTGAACATCTTGGATTGAAGGCACACCCTTCTTTCCCACACCATCTGTACCCTTGGTCTTTTGATGATGCAAGCATGGATTCTCCAGAACCAAGAACTTTACATGTGTGGTCCCAGGTTTTCTAGTCAGCTGGGAGAGCATGTGGGGAGCTGGAGCTGAGATTTGCCCATAGTAGTTTGATTTTTCCCAAAGTCCTTTTTCTTTCTTGCCTCAGATCTGGATAACCAATGGAGGACTGGCCGATATTTTTACTGTGTTTGCAAAGACAGAAGTTGTTGATGCCAACAATTTAACAAAAGACAAAATCACAGCATTCATAGTAGAAAGAAACTTTGGTGGAATCACTAACGGGAAACCTGAAGATAAGCTGGGCATCCGTGGCTCCAACAGTAAGTAAGCATGCGCGCGCACGCGTTTGTGTGTGTGTGTGTGTGTGTGTGAGAGAGAGAGAGAGAGAGAGAGAGAGAATGTGTACGTGCGCAAGCCCCAGGCCAGCTGTCCAGGGATAAAGTTCAGAAGGCAGGGTGAGGTAGGACAGAGGGTGATGGGAGCTGAGAATCACAGGGCGGAAATATGAAATGCGATCACATTATGGGTATTAGAATCAGTGTCATAAATCAAAATGTGTATGATTGGTTGAATGGAAAAACAATTTTCTCTGTCAATTTTCACTCAAGTCACAATGAAAAAGGATTGTTCTGTCACTGGAAGGAGCAAAAGCGAAGGCATTAACATAAGAAAGAGCCTGGCAGGTTTGTAGGAAGAGGTGACCAGAGGACTAGAGGAAGGGAGCAAGTAGGGCTGCCCTGCCTTGCCCCAGCCATTTTTCCTCCCCTGGTGGAAATCTGGGGCAGAGGTGCCCTTGAAATTGTGCAGTGCCTGATAATGTAGAAGGGAGGGAGGTAGCCAAAGATGAGGTCAGAGAGTTGACGAGTCAGGGTCCTACTCATCCCCAGGGGCCTCTAAGAGCAGAATCTGATGCCGTGACCCACATATTTCACAACCATGTCTTTTGAGCACATGTGCAATACTACCTTAAAAGATTAGCCGAAGACCTGATGCCCTTACCTGACTGGGCTACTTTGGAGCCTTGGTCTCTGTTCCTGGCATTTCTAATTTATTTGCTTAGAACTCATGTGCTTATCTAAATAGACACAAGCACTTTTCTCACAGAAAATGCAGCACCTACTGAAACTAATATTGAGAAGAATGGGAATCCCAGAACACTTAGTTGTGCTCATGCAAAACCTATACCTAGAGCGAGAAGATGTCATGCAAACAGAACAAAGGAACCCTGCATGGTTTAAAATCAAGAGAGATGTGCATCAGCCTGTATCCTTTCTCCTACCTGTTCATTCTGTTTGGTGAGCCAATCATTCAAGAACCTGGACCCTATGAAGAAGAATGTGGCATCAGGATTGAAGGAAGAGTCATCAGTAATATGCATTATGTAGATGACATAGCCTTGCTTGCTGAAAGTGAGGACTTGAAATGTTTGGTGCAGAATATCAAAGACTAAAGCCTTCAATATAGATTATGTCTCAACATAAAGATGATAAAAACCCTCACCACTGGTCTGATAGACAACATCATGATAGATGGAGAAAGGATTGAAACTGTCAATGATTTCATCTTACTTAGACCCAGTGCTAACAGTAGGAGATCAAGAGATGCGTTGCATTAGGGATGTCTGCTGTGAGGGACCTCTCCAAGTTACTGAGGAGTGGTGACATCAGCTTAAAGACTAAGGTAAGCCAAAGTCAGGCCATGGTCTTTTTAGTCACTTGCTATGCAGCTGAGAGCTGGACAGTGAATAATACTGATAGAAGGAGAATTGATGTCTTTGAGTGGTGTTGAAGGGTGCTGAATATGCCAAGGACTGCCAAAGGAACAGTGCTTCTTAGTGTAAGTGCAGCCAGAGTACTCCTTGAGGCGAGGATGGCACTGCTTCATCTCATACTTGGCGCGTTGCTTGGAGAGGCTATTCTTTGGAGAGGAACATCATACTTGGGAAGGTGGAGGGCCAGCGAAAGAAGACTCAGTCCGATAGATTGACTCAGTGATGACAGCACTGGGCTCAACTATGTCAGAGATGATAAGGATGGCAAAGAATAGGGCAGGGTTCAAATCTCAACAGCTGTGGGTTGCTGTGAGTCCGCTGGACTCAGTGACATCTAACAGCAGCAACAAAAGAAGCCCCTGTTCCTTCAGAACCTCCCGAGCTTGGCTCTCCCTTTGCTGCGCTAGGCTCCTGAATTTATTTTAGTCACACTGACTCCTCTCCGTTTCTCCGGTGTGCCAAGCTCGTCTTTATGTTTGTTAATCCTACAATGCTGCGGTGATGCTGCATGCCAGGCCACGGCAGAGCCTGGCTTATAACCAAGGTGCTGTTTTTAGATGCCTTTGAGTCAACTCCTCTCTACCCTGAGGTCTGGACCTGGCCCTGTCCCCACCATCCTCACCATCTGATAAGCATTTCTTTCCACTCACAGGTCCACAGTTGCCCGGGGCAGTCAGCTTCAGGCTGTGTAATTGTTTAGGTAATCTTCTTTATTGCCCTGGGGCATGTTCTTCTCAGGGTTGTTCACCTGACCTCATAAGCACTTTGAAGAACTCTGCCTCTGTTAGGGCTACACATTCTGTTGCCCAACCAAGACCTTAGCCAAGCCCAGCATCAGACATTACAGTGTTAGGCTACACAGGAGTGGATGTTTATAATGGAATTAATAATCCCATCTACCAAGAGGCCCTGCTGAGAGAATGAACAGGTTCATCTTGGAGAGGGTTAAACCAGGCTGCTCCTTGGAGGCAAGAATTCTGGAGCTTCGTCTGACATATTTTGGACATGTTGCAAGGAGGGACCAGTCCTTGGAGAGGACGTCATGCTTGGGAGGGTGGAGGGACAGTGCAGGAGAGGAAAACCCTCTATGAGGTGGATTGATTCAGTGACTGGGGTAATGGGGGTAGGTGTGTCCGAGACAGTAAGATTGGCACAGGATAGAGCAGGGTTTAGGGCTGTTGTACATAGGGTCGCTATGAGTCGCAGGTGTCTCAACAGCACATAACAACAACAACAAGAGGCCCTAGAAAACACAGCTTCCTGTTCCTTTCCAGACTTTATTTTGGTCTTTAAAAAAAAAAAAGTTTTTATTGGTTTGTTTACAAAGTTTGTATACATTGTGCTTCACACTATTCTCCGTTCACATTGTGTTTCATAAAATCGTTCCCATTCATTGTGTTTTATAACATTAATGACCATTGGACTACTCCCACCATTACCCTGTCTTTTCAGATCGCCACGGGATCTTTCCCATTTTCTTTACTCTCTCCACCCACCAAATTGTGCATCCCTGTGATTTCATCCCTACCCACCCTCATCCCTCTGCTCCCACCCCATCCCCCCTTGGGTCCTCATATATGCTTTACTAGTTATCCCTCTATTTTTACAGTAATGATCTTATGCAGAGCTTTCTGGACTTTTTATGTGATTACTCCTTCTCATCCTCTAAACTTCTAAAATGCCCTCTTAGGTGACTTAGGCACTAATATCCTTCCCACTTCCTACTTACATGTCCTGTTTATTTCACCTGGCCAACTTACCCTGGTAGTGTATCCTCTTATTTATAGTTTGTCTCCCTAACCAAAAGATGAGCAGGTCCACAGGGACACAGCCTTGTCTCTCTGTGTTCCCCCGGCAGCAGATGCCAGATGAGTCAGAGAATGGCAAGCATGCATGCCAAATGGAGAATCGTTGGCATCTGTCAGGTTAAGTCTTAAATTTCGTGTGTTTCAGCTTGTGAAGTCCATTTTGAAAACACCAAGGTGCCCATCGAAAATGTCCTTGGAGAGGTAGGAGGTGGTTTTAAGGTGAGTTCCAGCAGCAGTCCCGTTTGAGCACTGGGCACTTTCTTTTTCTTTCTTTTTTTTTTTACTGGGCACTTTCTGGGTCTGGCTTCTAGGCCTCCAGTTTTATTCTGTCCCTCCTTGTAGCTAGCCAGCCTGGACTTATATTGTGGTTTCCACTGAGAGATCAGCAAAATGGGGTTGGAAGGGTTGGTTTGCTCCCAGGAAAGGGTGAGAATCAGGAGCCTCCCTTAACCTTGGAGGCATCATTTACTTCCAGCTAGAGGTAGGATACCTTTCCTAGGGGCTGAGAAAGGGTGGCCAGCCAGCTCTGAAAGAAGCCAGGCTCTGGGAACACATTACTCTCATTCAAGTCCCTGCCCAAATGTGTATTTCTTCTTGGGGTCAAACTTAATATTGTTATAGTTTTCTACTTAAGATATAATTGACATAATGTAAAACGCATCATTTTGTATATGCATGCATTAAAGTGTACACTTAAGTGATGGTCAGCATATTCATGATATCATGCAGCCAGCCATGCTTGCTGTCATCTCCCGTCATTTCTTAAGGAAATGCCGTCTGCCCAGTGCCCTCCTTCCCTGCCCTTTGGCAGCTGCTGTCTTGCTTTCTGTCTCTGACTTTGTCTCAATTGTGAGCATTTTGTAGAAATGGAATCATACAGTATTTGACCTGTGTGTCAGATTTCTTTCACTCAGCATAGTGTTGTCAAGGTTTGTTTATGTTATAGCACGTGTCTCCACCTCATTCCTTCTTATGGTTGAATAGTCCACTGTTTGAATATGCCGTGTCTTGTTTTATCCATCAGTTAAATGGTGGGCATATGCATTGTTAGTACTTTTTGGCTATTGTGAATATGCTGGTTTAAACATTTGTGTCCATGTTTGTTTCTTGTTATTTCAGGTAGGTAGCGTGAGAAAGGGCTAGATCACGTGATAAGTGTGTTCCATCTGTTGTTGTTGATTCCATTATGACTCACAGTGACCCTGCCTGGTCCTTGCTCACCTCACAGTCACTGCTGTGCGACCCACTGTGACTGTTCATCTGCTGGAGGGGCACCCTGTTTGTCACTGACCTCCTTCCAACCATGATGCCCCTTGTGAAAAAGCTGAGCTGTAGAATATAGTCATGAAAAGTGGGAGGGGGGGTGTTATGTGGTAGAAAAGGTCTTGGGAAGGCTTGAGACGTGATTAAGTGGCAAGATCAGTTACTTGAACCCATGAGCCCCTTTCAAATAGGATTAAACCAGTTTCAGGGTTTTGATGTTTGAAGACTGAGACCAAATGACAAATCCTTTATCCTTTGATTTTTTAAAATGAAGTTAAAGATATAAGTTATGAAGAGCCTATGAGCTGGTTTTTTTGTTCATAAAATGGAGCTGAGCTTTGAAAGCTCATTTGTCAGAGAGCCGGTAATTCAGAGTAAACAACCACAAAACACCTCCTTGTCATCGAGTTGGAACCACCTCAGGGCTGACTCTCCAGCAGGTTTTCAAAGAATAAACTGACAGGAGGAGTGCCTGTGCCCATCTTTTTCCTCAGAGAATCTGGTGGATTTGAACTGCCTGCCTTTGGGTTGGCAGCACAACTCTTTCACTAGGTTGCCAGAACTCCCTAGCAAGCATGGACCATTGTTTCTTCCTTCATAATCCTTGGCAGGCTGACATGAGCCAGTGCCATTCCTTGTCCAGAGACAGACTCTGTAATTTGAATAGTTAAAGGCCTTAATTGAGTCTCAGGTTTCTATGAGAAAGTGAGGCATACCCCTGACCACCCAGCTCCATCCCTCAGCTAAGATTTGAATCTCAGTGTAGTGACGTTGAACCAAACCTCCTGGTTCCACCAGCACCACAGCTGAAGTGGGCCCAGCACCAGGGTGTAGGGCCCCAGTCCTGAGCCCTGCCCAGTGTGAGAATCCAGGCTTGCCAGTCCCAGGAATTTTGGGCAGTTGTTTCTAGCCTTGTAGAATGTTTCCAAAAGTCTTTCATTTGTATTATTTAATAAGTACCTGTAAATTTAAATTCACTTGCACGCTTTATAGATCCAAGTCACACATAACCAAGCTTTCAGTTAGAAGCAGCTACACAGTTAAATCTGTGCTTTTAGAAAAACTCTGGAATCCAGGGGCCTCCTTTCTGCCCTCGGGTAGCAGCCCGGTCTTTTGGGTTTTCTCATGGGCTGAGCAGAGGCTTGACAGATCAGATTGCACCTTCAAAGGCTCATGCCAGCATGTGGACAGGGATCCCTCTGAGGAGGCCTGGTTTGGCACTGCATATTGGTTCTAGAAAAGATTTCCCTTCTTCCTCTATCTGCCTGGTGGACCCAGCTGAAGTTTGGGGTTCCTTTGCTGACTCGAACTCCATCACTGACCCACTTGCCCATTTCTACGTTACTCTTCTGTGGTCACCCACATGCCACCTGCTGCATCATCAGCCCTCTTTGTCTGCAGCGCCAAGAGGAGAGGCCTCAGTGATTGTGTGCAACCTGGCACTTCCCGTGTGTGTACTAAGTACTTAGCAGTGGTGGGTGTCTGTTCTTGGCACAAGTTATTCATTCCTCATTTGTAGGCAAAGTAGTTGTGAAAAGAGGAGAAGTCATTGACGACGTGATCAGGGTATTCCTGTGGGCATTTTGGGGTCTGAACGTGGCTGAGCTCCCAGGATCATCACAGGGTGGAGCACTGTTCAGACTTAACACAGGCTCAGTGACCAGTAGATGCTTGCTGGGTGACGGCTCTTAATCTTGTGTTCTTCATCTGTTAAGTGAGGGTCCTGAGCCGAAAGCTTTGTCGTTATTGTTGTGTACTCTCTAGTTGGAACCGACCCATAGCTGACCCTCCAGCAGATTTTCAGAGGCAGTTAATCGCACAGGAGGAGATTACCCATCCTTCTCTCTTGGAGCAGCAGCTGGTGTCCTGGAACCGCTTGTCTCTGAGATTGCAGCACAGCTTCTTGCCACTAGGCCGCTAGTTAGGAAAGCATAAATAGCCTGCAGCATGTCCCCAGCCAAGTCAATATTTACACACTCTCCCCTCTGCCAGAACAAAGAATTAGTGCTTTCTCTTGGGAAGATGTTGTCTAATGCTGGGTGGGGTTTTCTTGGGGGTGGGGGGAGGGTGCTGGCACACAGGCAAGACTCTACAGCATGACAGGAGCCATTGCTGGAATGAAATCATGGTGTTTTGAAGTATCGGGCCTACACTTTCTCTCAGCCCAGAGGTAGGCAGAATGCATGAGTATGTAATTTGGCCCAGGGCCTGGTACACGATTGTCCCTAGCTTACTTTTGGTTTTCTCCTCCTGTTCTCAGGAGGGTCAGTCCTTGGATAAAGACATTGTGCTGGGAAAGGTCAAGAGTTGGAGAAAGAAAGTAATTGTAACAATGGGCTCTTGTGTCAGAGAAGGTGAGAGTGGCCCTGGGCAGGGCAAAGTTCCGATCTGCTATTCACGGGGTCACTGTGAGTTGTACCCATCGGTGCCTGACAGTAGCCATGGCATTGGGCTCTCGCCAGTCCCGGGAGAGTGACAGGCGTCCCTCTGTGGGACAGGTGTCCACAGCGCCTCTCTTACTCTTCCTGCAGGTGGCCATGAACATCCTCAACAGTGGGCGGTTCAGCATGGGCACCACTGTGGCTGGGATGCTCAAGAAATTGATTGGTAGGTAAGTTGGGGCAGGAACCGTTCAGTTCTGCCCCGCCCCGCTCCACCCCCGGAGACTCTGCTGTTCCCTGTGGGCTAGCGGTTAGAGCTGGACCACCTGGACAGGCCACCAAGCCCAGGTTTGGAGTTGGGGCTCTGACTTCTCAGGCCTGAGTGAGACCCAGGAATGCTTTAAAACCAAAGCCCAGCGCCATCAAGTCGATTCCACCTCGGCGACCCTCTGCTGGGTTTCCAGCATAGCAAAATGAGGACCCTGAGCTAGGCATGTGATGGGCTCAGCTCGTGGGCCCAGACTTGTGTCCAGGGGATGCCACAGCCTCTCTGCGTGTGCTTTAAGGGAGGAGATGTTCATCTTCCTCCTGCAGAGCGACTAGTGGATGTGAACTGCCAGCCTTTTCATTCGCAGTCCGCCTTGCTGCACCCTACACCACCAGGGCTCCCTAGGAAAGTCTCAGGCTCACCCTAGAGGATCACCTTTCTGTGTCAGCATTCCTGTTTGCCTACATTCACAGAATAACAGAGAGGGATTGGTATTCTGTGAAGTGGGTAAGGATTACTGCTCCAGCCACCAGAACAGAGCTACTTAGTGCAGGTCTGGCTGAGCTGCACACTGGATCAACATTAGCTCTAATCTTACAGACCCCTGTAGTGAAAGAGCATCACGTATGCTTGACTCTGAAGCTACTCGGGGACTGAGGAGTAGCATCTGACTTGGAACCTTAACACACACACCCCCGACTTGTGGATCTTGTCTTTGTGATTTTGATTTGGGTTTTTTTTCCTGTTAGGACACGTGAAATCCAGATTTTTTCCAGTGAATACCACTATCATTCAGATACATGCACCAACAACCAGAGCCAAAGAAGAGGAAATAGAAGATTTCTACCAACTTTTATAGTTGGAGAATCGAACATGCAATCAAGATGCATTGATAATAATGGGTGATTGGAATGCAAAAGTTGGGAACAGAAGAGTCAGTAGTTGGAAAACATGGACTCAGTGACAGAAATGAAGCTGGAGATAGAATGATTGAATTTTGCACAATCAATGACTTATTCGTTGCAAATATGTTTTTCAAGAGACATAAACGCATATACACATGGATTTCACCTGATGGTATGCATAGGAATCAGATTGTATCTGATGTAATCAGATGTAATCATCTGCGGAAAGAACTGCTGGAGAAGCTCAATATCAGCTGTGAAAATTAGGCCAGGAGCTGATTGTGGACCAGACCACCAACTACTCATATGCAAGTTCAAGCTGAAGCTGAGGAAAATTAAACCGAATCCATGGGAACCAAAATATGACTTTGATTCTATCCCACCTGAATTTCAGAACCATCTCAGGAACAGGTTTGAGGCCTTGAACACTAAAGAGTGAAGACCAGACGAGTTGTGGGAGAATATCAAGGGTATCGTTCAGGAAGAGTGCAAACATTCATTACAAAGAAGAGGAGGAATAAAAATCCAAATTGGATGTCAGAAGAAACTCTGAATATTGCACTGGAGCACAGAGAAGCCAAGCAGAGGAGGAATTCAAGATACTAAAGAGTTGAACAGAAGATTTCAAAAGGCAGCGCTGGATGACAAAGTAAAATATTAGCATGAAATGTGCAAGGAGCCGGAGTCAGAAAATCAAAAGGGCTGAACTCGCTCAGCATTTCTTAAGCTCAAGGAACTGAAGAAGAAATTCAAACCTAGAGTTGCTGTAATCAAGGATGCTTTAGGCAGAATAGTAAATGATCCAGGAAGTATTAAAAGAAGATGGAAAGAATATACTGAGTTACTGTATCGAAAGGAATTGGCAGATACAGAAGAATTTAATGAAACAACATATGAGCAAGAGCCTATGGTGATGAAGGAAGGAGTTCAGGCTGCTTTGACTTTGAAGGAAATAGCAAAAAATAAGGCTCCAGGAATAGATGATATACCAACTGACATATTTCAGCTAACAGATGCTGCCCTGGACGTGCTCACCAAGTTGTGCCAAGAAATCTGTAGAACAACCACTTGGCCAACTGACAGGAAGAAATCTATATTTGTTCCCATTCCAAAGAAAGGTGACCCAACAGCATGTGGAAACTACAGAACAGTGTCATTGATTTCACATGCAAGCAAGATTCTACTGAAGATTATCCAAAAACAACTGGAACAACACATCAGCAGAGAATTGCCAGAAGTCTTGGCTAGGTTTAGAAGGGGTCGTGGTACTAAGGATATTGTAGCTAATGTCAGATGGATATTGGCAGAAAGCAGGGAATACCAGAGGAATGTCTATCTGTGCTTCATTGATTATGCAAAGGCATTTGACTGTGTGGACCATAATCAACTGTGGCTGACTCTGAGAAGAATGGGAATCCCAGAACACTTGATCGTGCTAAAGCAAAACCTATACTTGGACCAAGAGGCAGTCATCAGAACAGAGCAAGAAAACGGCATGGTTCAGAATTGGGAAGGGCGTACTCCAGGATGTGTCCTGTCTCCATACCTTTTCAAGCTGTATGCAGAACAGATTATCCGGGAGGCTGGGCTCTATGAGGAGAAATGTGGGGTCAGGATTGGTGGAAGATCTATCAGCTTTCTGTGTTATGCAGATGACACTACCCTGCTTGCTAAAACTGAGGAGGACCTGAAGTGCTTGCTGCAGAGGGTCAAGGACTGCAGCCTTCAATATGGATTGAGGCTCAATGTCAAGAAGACAAAAATTCTCACCACTGGACCAATTGACAGCATCAGGATGGATGGTGAAGAGATTGAGACTGTTCACAGCTTTAGTTTGCTTGGCTCCACAGTCAACACTCTTGGCACCAGCAGCCAGGAAATTAAAAGACATATTACGATGGGAAAGTCTGTTGTTAGGGACCTCTCCAAAGTACCGAAGAGCAGTGGTGTCACTTTGGAGACTCAGGTGCGTCTGATACAGGCCATTGCCTTTGCGATCACTTGTTATGCATCAGAGAGTTGGATATTGACTAGGGAGGATTGAAGGAGAATTGATGCCTTTGAGCTTTGGTGCAAGAGTGTTGAGTGTACCATGGACTGCCAAGAAAACAAACAGATTCATCCTGGAGAGGGTTAAAGCAGGCTGCTTCTTGGAGGCAAGGATTGTGAGGCTCTGTCTTACATACTTTGGACATGTTGTAAGGAGGGAGAGGTCCTTGGAGAAGGACATCATGCTTGGGAGGGTGGAGGGACAGTGCAGGAGGGGAAGACCCTCTATGAGGTGGATTGATTCAGTGACTGGGGTAATTGGGATGAGCGTATTGGAGACAGTGCGATTGGCACAGGACCGAGCAGAGTTTAGGGCTGTTGTACATAGGGGTCGCTATGAGTCACAAGCGACTCGACGGCACATAACAACAACACCAACAACAACAGTGAATTTAGAACAGCCCTACAATGTTTGGCATAGAAGATGGTTATCACTATATTTTTTAATGTGATTTTGTTTTATGTTGGTTTGCATATAAAAATCATGTATATTGTGTTTCATTCACAAACATCGTGCTTCACACAGTCCTTCGTACACTTTCTGTTTCATATGATCACTCATATACATTGGGTTTTATAAAATTAATCCCCATTGATCTATGCCCACCATTACCCCTTTTCAGGTCCCCATTGGATCTTTTCCGTCCCTTTACCCCTGCCTTCCCATCCACCCACCAAACTCTATTATCTTCGTGATTTCTTTCCTTCCCCTTTAGGCATTTTACACACATCCTACTAGTTATCCTTCCATTTTTACCATTTTATCTTGTAGAAGTGGCTGCAGGGACATACCATTGACTCTGACCTGGCAGATAGGAGGGTTGATGAGGGACTTGGCACTGCAACTAGCATACTGCTGAGTCCCTGAGAAGGTTCTCCCCTGGGCCAGACTCTGGCAAAGCCTTGTAGGGTTCAATGCAGGGTGGGGGCGCAAATGCTTCATTTGAGAGTCTTCATGTTGCGGAGAGGAAATGAAAACCCACAGAGGCTGTAACGGGCCTCAGGCCACAAACCTGGGCCTACATGACGAGCCTGTAACGTGCTCAGCTCTGTGTCCTTTATTTGCTGTGCTGCTTCCAGGCAGGGCCTGAGCTTGCTGAGACACTGCTTCCTCTTCCTAGCAGCTCTCCCCAACCAGGGGCTGTGCACTCTTCAGTGGTCAACCTGTCTCCCAAAGAATGCCATTCCAGCATGTGGTATGGAGGTACCCATCAGCTTGTTATGGGGACCAGCTCAGAACTGAATCCTGAATGAAAACATTGGGAGAATGTTGACGGTGGAGCGGGGAGGTGAGGGCAGAAGGTGTCATTCTTACTCGTTGATGAGTTGTGAGACACAGTGTGAACACACAGCTGGACACTGAAGCCACTGCTGGGGGTTTTGGAGAGGACAGTGACAGGGGTGAGCCTTGCACCACTTGTGACTGGGCCTCTTCTGTGCTACTACTGCCTTTGTGCTACACTTTTGGCAGCTGTGTCTACTTTTATTATCACAGCCAACATAGGTGCAGATGATAATCCGCATTCTAGAGGAGTAGAGCTGCTTGTCCCAGACTGCTACCCCACTGGCAAGGAAACTCCTGCATTAAAATCTTTCAGGCCTCACACACAGCTCGAGCTGCCTCTTTCCTGTGCGCACATCCAGGAGTGTATGTTCCAAGCTGGAGCAGAGAAACTGGCTCATTCAGCGCATTGGATTTCATAATTCCCACCTGAGCATTTGAAAGATGGTGATTTTAAAATCTGTTCTTTTCAATGATTCTCTTCTTCAGCAATGACTGCTGAATACGCCTGCACGAGGAAACAGTTCAACAAGAACCTCAGTGAATTTGGATTAATTCAGGTATGGAGGGTCTGAGTTGGGAGTGGGGGGGCGGGGGGAGAGAGAGTGAGTGTGTGTGAGAGAGAGAAAGAGAGAGAGAGAGAGAGAGAGAGACTTGGGTGGAAGGAATACTCTCTCAGGTTTTACCTCATGGGAACCACTTTCATTAATGCCCAGGCTGGTTCTCCTGCTCAGCAAAGCTTATGATTTCACTATCGTCCCCGCTGGGCCTTTTTGGGTTGCACCATGTTCAGATAGCTGTCTTGATTGTGGGTGTGTGTGTTATCTTTTTAACTCTGCAGGAGAAATTTGCCCTGATGGCTCAGAAGGCGTACGTGATGGAAAGCATGGCCTACCTCACCGCAGGGCTGATGGACCGGCCGGGCTTTCCCGACTGCTCCATTGAGGCTGCCATAGTGAAGGTAACGCCAGCATAATCCGGGAGCACAAGAATAATAATTCAGGAAGACAGCATCTTTTTTGCAGCCTTTCAAGCCCTCATTGTTGTCTACTGTCTTCTCGTTAGTTCATGGTTGTCTTGCCGTTGATGCAGTGGTCATGACGTCACATCATGTGCCACTGATTCAAGGTTAGGCATGCCTGTAGCTGGGGTGGGAGTAGTGAGAACAGGAGACTACAGACCTCAGCTAGGGGCAGGTACAGGGATGAGTTCCTTTCCCCAGTGTGTTTGTGTCCACATCTTCAGTGTCTGTATGACAAGGGAAATATGAACAGCGTGACTTCGTATCAAGGAACCTGGGTTATACACATAGCTGCAGACTGAAGGGTTGGTGGTTTGAACCCACCCAGCTGCTCAGGTGGTCCGATGTGACGATTACAGTCTGTGGGGCAGTTCTGCTCTGTCTCACGGGGTTATTAGGAGCTGGACGCGGTTGGACAGCACCTAACAACTTCACGTCCGTGTGAGATGACAATGGCGCCTTGTTGGGAAGGGGGTCTTCTGAGCTTAGGGGCTTTTGACTTTTTTTGTATCAAATTTCCTTTAATGGAGTGTTTGGTTGAGGTAGTCGTTTCTTGATGTTTTTCTTTTGTTTGGGAGGAGAGGATGATCCTTAGCGATGATAAAAGTGACACCCAGCCAGATTTAGACAGACACGGCCATTTTGAAACTGGTTTCCGGGTAGCACACTGTTGAGACAAGTGGTGCTGGGTGGCTGTCGAGAGAAGCAAAGAACCAGTGGGGGTGCAGGTAGGAAAGTCCACCTGACAGGCTGCCTGCTGCTTGTCCGACGAGGTTCAGATCCATTTTCTCTCTATGTGTCTTCACTGGGAGGTTTTTGCGTGCATCATTTAATCCTCTCACAACCCTTCAGCTGTAGCTGTGGACAGGAACTGGTACTTATAAACAGCCCAGACCCTTCTGGGCCTAGATATGCATTATCTCTGCCCTCAGGATATTTGCAAAGTGAGTCATGAAAATTCAGGATGGTGTGTAGAACTGACCTTTGTCCATGCACAGACGTGAAAAGAGCCAAGGGAGTTCAGTCAATCCCTCTTGGAAAGGGGGAGCCTGGAATGGGGGCTCAAGCACAGGACTTTGTCCAGGTGTGAAAATATGTTCTATACTAAGGAGCACAGAAGTGGTGTCAGCGAAGGTTGGAGAAAACCAGTTGTGGTTGAGGAAGGAACAGGACTTGGCACCCAGGCAGTAAATGACAGGGTTCCAGCTTGAATGGTTCTGATTCAAAAGCCTGATTCTCTGCGTAGAGACCCCAGCCGCCAGCCCAGCCGCACAGGTCCCTAGGAGTTAGGTCCTGCTTGTGATAGGTGCCTTGATTATCTAGTGCTGCCATAACAGAATTACTTAAACACAAGCATACTCTCTCCTAACTTAGGAGGCTAGAAGCCCTAATTCAAGCTGCACACTTTAGGGGAAGGTGGAGCTATGTCCTTTAGTGTCTGTAGGTCGGGCAGTCCTTGGAGATCCCATGGGTGCTGGCCTTCCTCCATGTCCAGGAGCTCTGACACAAAGGGACCTGGGTCTAAAAGATGCACTCCACTCCTGGCGAGTATTTTCAGATGGACTTAAGGTCTCCCCCCTCAGTTTGCTCCCCTTTTATCTCTCGTGAGCTGAAGTTGGCCATGCTCTAGGGCAGCTGTCCTTACACGTGATGAGAGCTGTGGTGGGATGAGGGAGTGTTACGTTCCACGCTCAGTCCTCCCACAGCTATCTGATTCATCAGATCGTGGGGGACCGTTATGTAGCTTCAACTTTGTATCACTTACATGTATTTGGGAGGCACAGCTCAGGCCGTGGTCATGGAGGCGGAGCCCTGACAGCACTGCCGACCTTGCCCTTGACCGTGACAGGTGTTCAGTTCAGAGGCTGCCTGGCAGTGTGTGAGTGAGGCGCTGCAGATCCTCGGGGGTTCAGGCTACATGCGAGACTACCCTTACGAGCGCCTGCTCCGAGACGCCCGCATCCTTCTCATCTTCGAGGTAAGTGGTCTGGACCCCCTGCTGGTGACACCATCTTCTGTCACCACCCTAACTCAACCATCCTGTTCGGGCAACTCCTGAGACCTGAGAGGTGCGGAGGCCGTTCATGGCCCTGGCCAGTGTTTCTGCTCTCATATGACCTTCTCAACAGCTCTGCAGAGATTCTGCTTTACTGAGGAAGGTGTTAAGGCTGAAGGAGGCTAAGCAGCTCCTTCCAAGTCCCTCTCATGGTGGGCCTCCTGGGCACATTTTCTCCTAGGGACCTTTTTCCTATAGGCCTTTTGGGCTGGACAGGGTAGGACCAGCAGAGGTCTTTTTTGTTGGAGACTCAAGCACACATCTATGTTCCAGTTCTGCCTTAGTTGGGACCTCTCTGAACCTTGGTTTCCTCCTGGGAGAATTAAAGCACTTTCTTGGGGCTGTCCGTGCGGCTTTCCTCACAAGCCCTGGCACTTTCTTTTTCTCCATTTGTCGTCCTCAAAGCAGTCCAGGTATAGGGAGTCCGGTCGGGATTGGTGCCACAGAGAGAACCCAGACCTCATGGAGATGCTTGTGCCCTGGGGCTGAGGAGGCCTCTGTGGTGGAAGCACTGTGGGAGGAACGCTCCTCCCAGGAAGGAAGTGGAGTCTCATGGAGCAGGCCCTCGGGGCCAGAGTGGACAGTCGCTGTCGCTCAGGAAGGGCGGTGCAGGCTGAGGGATGGGAAACAACTGTTTGTGCCCATTCTGCAATGTGAGTTGGGTAGAGGGAGAGTGGGAAGGGTGTGTAGGAGGAGTGGTGAGCTATGCTCCGTGTGGTAAGAAGGTGGGCTGCCGAGAGTAGGGAGGTAGGAAGAGAGGGACCCGGCTTGAAAGCAGAGGACTGTGGTCTTGTCATGAGGGCTAGTGGAAACCAGGTTTTTCCGTGCAGGAATCATGTGGTTGAATTTGAAGTCTAGAGAGGTTTTCTTGGGGGGGTGAGGTAGAAGATGAAACCAGGTCAGCGGTAGGAGAGCCTGGCCCAGGGCAAGGGATAGACCTCAGAGGCTGTGGAGAGAAGCGGCACTGAGTCTGTGAAGACAGTGGGGTACAGGTGACAGGTGGGAGCTGGTGAGGTCCCTGAGGGAGGTCCTCATATTGTCTGCCTGCAGAAGGTGGCCTGAAGTACCTCGGGTTAGGATGTGTTTCCAGCTCCTGGCTCACCCTGCAGGCCTCAGTGACTCGTTCTCTTCCCTTCCACGATCCACATATCCTGTTCTGATTCTCTTCTCCCCTGGTGGACAGACAGGGTGGGGAGTGCTTTCCCAAGGGCATTAGGATGTGCCCAGGACTGACCCTCCCCAGGTCAGTAGGCAGCCTGATGGGAAGCTCCGCTGGATGAGGGTGACCAAGTGAAGCTTCTAAGATCCTGAAGCCATAGTTTCTTTAAAGGGGGTAAAGCTTTCTGTGTGAAGCAGACTTGCTGGTCTAGAGACCTACCAGTCAGGAGCAGGGACCCTGTGCCATCTTCCTGTCCTCTAACAGCCCTGGCCAGCTGACAGCTTCTTGACACTTGCTTCTGTGATATTAGCCTGGCTGGAAGGGTATAGTTCTCCGGCCTCGCTGTGTGGCCTGAATCAAGCTCCTGCACCTCTCTGACCAGCCCACCTGACAAATGGGCAGAGAGCTCAGCTGGCTTTCCTCACAGGCAAGTGGATGTGTTCTGGGTGGAGAGCACAGTGTGCACGAGGGGTGAGCCAAAGGGTTGGGACCCAGCCTGAGGAGCTGCCACTTTCCAGCAGCCTGGTGCTCCCTGGCGGAAGCTGGCCTGAGCACTCAGAAGCTGTTGTCTCACTGTTTAGAGGGGAAATCAGAGACCTGAAGCAGTGACCTATGTGGGCTGCTTGTAGTGTTGTGGTTGCAGTGAGATGCTATGGCTAGGGCTGGCCCTCATCACCCTGGCCACAACCTTGGCCTCTGCGCGCTTTGGAAGCAGTGGCTTCTACAGTTAGGGACAGCGCACAGGGCTCTGCTCCCCGACACGGGAAGTCACGGTGGGCTCAGCAGACCTGGTGGGGGCTTCCTGTTGACTCTGCACTGCTGGCCATAGGGGACCAATGAGATTCTCCGGATGTACATCGCCCTGACGGGTCTGCAGCATGCTGGCCGCATCCTGACCGCAAGGATCAAGTAGGTGCCTCACCCTCTGTTTGGCCCTGGGGACCCCACTCATCCCAGGATGTGGCAGGTTGGGAAGGTGGACACGGGGTGGTGCAGCGTTGCAGCACTCTTGCAGCCTGGTTGAGTCAGACTAGCTGGCTGCGGGGAGGACTAGTTGGCTGGAGAGTGGGCAGGCCCTGAAAGTCAAGTTCAGAGCTTGGGTTTCTGCTGTGGGCAGAAGGAGTGGCCAGCTGCTCAGGGAAGTGCTGGCATGCTGCTACATCTGGAAGTCACCTCTGCCCAGTAGCTCTGATCACATTCTTGCATTGGAGGGAACTGTATTTTCAGAACCTGGGAAATGAAGGGTGTCCCTCTGACAGGTGCCAGGCTCTGAGGCCTAGGCAGGATAGACTTCTGGAGCCCAGGTGCAGGCTGCATGTGGCAGACTCACTGGGGTGGTGGGAGGAGTCTGAACCAGCTGTAATGCTCCCTGATTCTCCACCTCAGGAGATGAGGTGCTTGCTGGCAAGCAGCGGGGAGGGGAGAGGCACGTGGGCCCTGTGGCCAAACCTGTTACTGTAGATAGTCTGGGGGCAAGAACGTGCACCTGGAGGGCCGGCGGTACTTGGAAGGTGCTGCTGGGCAGTGGGGCCTGAGGTGGGACTGTGGACTCTGTGCAGCGAGCTGAAACAGGGAAACATAAGCACAGTTATAGAGACTGTTGGACGGAGGCTTCGGGACTCACTAAGCCGTACCGTGGACCTGGGGCTGACCGGCAAGCTGGGTGTTGTGCACCCCAGTCTTGGGGTAAGTGGGCTCTGGAGGTGGGGCTGTCCTTGGAGAGATGTGGGAGACAGTGGGTATCCTGATACTAGATCTCCTTTCCTACAGGAATGTGGCCAGGGCCCACTAGCCTCCCTCATGGGTGTTGGGAAGAACCAGCTAGTCCAGTGCCTCCCCGTTTCTACCCGTCCGCCTGATTCTCCCACTCAGACATCCTCAGGTGGGCTGGGCCCGGGAGGCTGCTGACTCACATCCTCTGTTCTGACCATACAGGACAGTGCCAACAAGCTAGAGGAGAACGTATATTACTTTGGTCGCACTGTTGAGACATTGCTGCTCCGCTTTGGCAAGGTACCTGCCCCCGCCAGATCTAAGAAGCAGTGGGTCCCGTCCTGATTCCAGGCATCAGCAATCTGGCCAGCATCCATGAAACCACTTTTTTGTCCATTTGGAACTCAAGCTCTTAGACCTGCTAGTCGAACTTCATGGGGGACATAGGATATCTGGGTACAGGCTCCACAGCCAGCCCTCAGGCAGGAAGTTTGGTTGCTGGGAGAGCTGGAGGCTCTGGTGAGGACCCCGCTGGGTAATGATTTCTCTTGGCATTCCCAGGGGCTCCTTGGAGTCAGCAGAGGGGTAGATGCACCAGGACCTGGGGGTAGGTGTGGGGGAATAACAGAGCTGTGCAGCACCCACTGGTGGAGGTGGCATAAGACATGTCCAGCACCTGTCCTTGGTCTTAGAGAAGTCACTGGGACTTTGAGATCCACCCAAATCCAAGCTGAAGAGAAGGGAAGGCGGAGAAGGTGGCTGTGTGCCAGCTTCACCCAGCCGTGGTCCTGGTAGGGTATTGATGTGTTGGAACCAACCCTTCAGCAGATTTTCAGAGGCTGTAAATCACACAGGAGGAGATTGCCCAACTTTCTCCCACAGAGCTGCTGGTGGGTTTGAACCGCATGCCTTGGGGTTGGCAGCACAGCTCCTCACCATTAGATCACCAGAGTACCCTCACCCGGCAGTGAGCAATGGGACTCAGCAGCCCCACTTTACTAAAGCTAGCACAAGCTCAGAGTTGGGCTCAGCTATGACTGAAGTGAGAGACCGTGCTGAGGGTGGTGGGCAGCTCTAGAAGGCAGTTGTCCATGCGGTACCTTTGTGTCCCAGACCATCGTAGACGAGCAGATGGTGCTGAAGCGCGTTGCCAACATCCTCATCAACCTGTATGCCATGACGGCAGTCCTGTCGCGGGCCAGCCGCTCGATTCGCATTGGACTCCGAAACCATGACCACGAGGTCAGCCCCTGGCCAGCCTTGGTCATAGATGGGACACCTTGAAGGCTTCTGTCCTGGTGCTTTTAATTAAAGGTGGGGGACAGAGGGTGGGGTGGGAGTCCCTGTTGTCAAAGGAGGGGGCTCAGGGAGATTGAGCCACAAGGATCTCCCTGGTGCTGTGAGGAGCTGGGCCCTGTGGCAAGCACTGTCGCCTCCACCTGGAAAATCCTGGCTGCTCAGGAGAGGCGTCTACTCTTCTGACCTGGGAGGGAAAGAGTAGGTGAGTGACATTGTCTGCTCTAACCTCACAGGAGCAGAGCCTTGCCTGGAGGGGTAGATGTGGGCTCTTTGTTCTGGGACTCAGAGATGTTAAGTAGCCTCAGGGACAGAGCTCCTCTGGATCGGGGCTGGAATTAGAACACACTGTGACTTTGGAGTCCTGCTTCCAATATGACTGGACTTGGCACTCACACAGCAGGCTCTGGGCAGGGCCTCCGAACCCAGAAAAAAAGCCCTGTGGTTTGGGGATCCTAGAGTTCTCAGTGGTTATTTTTCCCACCTGCCAGGTTCTGTTGGCCAACATCTTCTGTGTGGAAGCTTATACCCAGAACCTCTTAGCCCTGTCTCAGCTGGATAAGTGTAAGTAGGGTGGCTTGGGAAGGGCAGAGGGCTGATTTCAGACAAGTGATGGTGAGATGCCGTTTGAGGACACTGTCCAGCCGAGGCTTAGAGACGTCTTTCTGCCTTGAGTGGGATCTTTGGTCAGCCTGGTCCCACTTGCAGCACACAGCCTGCACATAAGTCCTAGAGCAAAGAGCTGCACCTGGCCAGACTCCTGGAAGGTCCCAGGAGAAGGAAGCATCATACTGTGCTGGAAGATAGCATTTTAGCCAGCCTCTTCAGCCTCGGCGTCCCAGCCAAATGAATGTGCAGGTCTCTAATGCATACCCCAGGCTCTAGCCATAGAAAATGGCTGTGGAACTATATATACTGTCTCTTCCAAAGCTGCTTGGCCAAGTCTTGGAATTCCTGGCTTATATGCATGTCTTTTGACACTTAACTCTGGCCAGCCCTGTGCCAGGGGAGAGGCTGTGAGCATTCTGGCACTGGCTGAGCATAGCAGTGTGGAGTTCTATGCACCTACTGGCTCCAGGTACTGGCCCATGCACCTCAAAGATGGCAGTACATGTGCGAGGTGAAGAATAGTTTTTCTTCGCCAGGCCTGAATCACAAATTGATTGTTACTCAGCAAGATATTCCCCTACTCCACTCTCTGTGGCAGTATTTTGGGGTTGTTTTTGTTTTTTAAGAGATTGTAAGGACAAGCTCTGGGCTATTTGAAATTAAATCCCTTTTTCTTGCAGTAGCCCAGAACTGCTTCCTGAAGGCAGGTGGAGAGGGGCCAATAGGATCAGCCATTAGAGCTACTTTAAATCGAGTGGGCTAACTTTGTTTAGTAACAACAAAAACATAAAGCTCTTAACTTCAACTGTTTGATTATCACAATGCAGAAAAATCACCCACTCACTTTTCCCTTCCAGATTCTCCAGAAAATCTAGACGAACAGATTAAGAAGGTGGCCCAGCAGGTCCTGGAGAAGCGAGCCTACATCTGTGCCCACGCCCTGGACCAGACATCCTGAGGTGGGAGGGCGGTGCTCCCACCTCCACAACCATAGTGAGGTGTCCAGCCAGCTTCCAGGCGATGCTGTCCCACAGGGTAGAGAGCTTGGAGTCTTAGAAGTTGAAGCTGCTTTCCCAGGTGTACCAATGGAAGGGCTTTCCTCCTTGCCTGAAAGATCATCTTTTTGGTTTCTGCCACGGCTCTTTGTCCCCAGGCATTGCTGCCCAGCATGGCTGATCACAGCTTCTGGACAGAGATGGTGACTGATGGGGAGATGCCACCTACAGGAGCTCGGGGGTCTCCTAACAGCTTAGGTGACAGCAACAGCTTAACCGTTTCCAACAGACAGCAAGAAGGCTGTCTCCACAGTGTTCATTTAAACTAGAAGCAAAAGGCACTTGAAACCAGGAACCGATTAATAAAGAATGTATCATGTCAGAAGTTATGTTTGCACTTTTAGCTTTTTGCTGTGCAAATTAACATTTTTTCCTCAAAACCAACTAAGAGGTGGCAGCGTGACCTAGGCCACACCAGCTTTTGCCCTCACCTGGGAAAAGGGCCGCTCTGAGCCCTTTCCATATAACAGTGCGTGTGTCTTACCACCCAGCGAGGCCTTTCCTTTTGCGGCCCGGAGTTCTTGCAGTGTAGTCTGTGGACAGTTGTGCTGATAATGCAAAGGTGGAACCTCTCTGGAGGTTCAGATGCATCAGCTGCCCTGAGGAACCACAATGGACCATCTCCTCCCATGTGCTTTACAGTCTACAAAACCCAGTGGAGGGTCAGCCTTGGGTTGGTTCAGACTCAATGGCAGTGAGTTTTGCGTTTTTCACAGATTGGTCTCTGCTCTGAAGACAGGACCTGAAGGTACTTGTGATGTGGCACTGACACTCCTTTGCATTTTCCAAACTCCTTTCTGCTGTTAACCTGGAGCATACGCCGATGCCCAGTGTGCTAGCACTTTGGTCTGGTTTCTGGGGGATTTAGGACTCTAGAAAGCCCACTATCAATGTTTCTTTGGCAGAGCAGGCCGGGCCCTCTCATTTTATCTCCAGACATTCACCCTGGTTTTTTGTCATCTTTGGGCGAGTGCTGGACATAAGCAAAGAAGAATTTGTGGATGCTGAGAGCAGAGAAGGCTTTCTGGTAAAGGATGCTAAGCACTCCTGCTATAGCTATGGTAACTGTCTTGAATAAGGGACAGTATACCAGCAGAGTGTTGACTCTGGGAAGAACTTTTCAGTTTAAAAAAAATGTAGACTGGAATGAGGCATTTTGCATAAAATGGAGAGGGCACATCTCTCTCTGGACAGTGCTGGGCTAGGAGTCTGCTTAGGCCCTCTGTACAGTGGTCAGTCTCTGCAAGGAGCCTTCACAGGTGGCCTGTGTGTCCCCTGCCAGCAAAGGTTTCTCTCTTTATCTCGCTGGGTTTAACCTGTCCACGATTGAGTTTTTGGCTTTGAATTTTGTTGTTGTTGTTGTTGTTGTGAAACCATGTGTTTTTAGTAGTAGAAGTCATTTTAAATGAAAGGGAAAGTTTTTTCCCCTTTTGAGGTAATAGGAGTTTTGATACAGTTAGTGGGACATATATGTCATGAGAGGGGTCCCTAATGTTGGGATTGGGGGGAATGAACCTCATCCCTTCAGATTCACTCACTTTTCAAGACCTCCCTCAGAGGCAGCATACACTGAAGTGGGACCAGAGCAGAAGATGTGGGGGGGGGCAGTCTGTAAGTTCCAGGGCCCCATTTAGAGCCTCCTGTTCACAAGTGCAGGAAGCTGGGGTGCTGTGCTGCTAACAAACCTCTCCAGCCTCTTGAAACCACCAGCTTCACTGTGGGAGGGGAATGAGTATTCTCCTCCTATGAAGATCTAAAGCTTCATAAGCCCAACAGAGGGTTGCTGTGAATCTGAATTCATTCGATAACGGTAAATATGAGTGTTTTCAGCTGTAGTTTTCCATTTCTAATCATGGTGGGGAGGAGACCTTGGCATGAACTTGGGAAACCCTCTCAACAGTATTCACAGGTTCTCACCGGTATGCACAGGGACGTGAAATACTCAAGGAGAGTGTGGCCCACTAGGAAGCCAGTAAGCCAAATCTAGAGCCTAGAATCTTCTTCAGGAGCTTCCATGGGGACTCTGCGCCTGGGACACACAGGTGGGCGGCAGGGTCTGTCCATGCAGCCTCAGAAGGTCTCGGGCCTGTTCTGTAGGGAGGCGGCAAAGCGTGGCGAGAGGAAACGCTCAAGATTTCGTACTTCCTTCTGTTTCAAGCCGTCCCTATGAGTCAGGGAAGGTCAGAAAACCATCTGATCTAGCTTTCTGGGAAAGACTTCTCTGGCAAACTTTTCTTCCTGAACAGAAGTTGACTGTTCATCAATAAAATAGGGTTCAGTACCAGTCTGTAAATAACTTTTAAGATCAGTATTCATAAACTGGAGAGGGAAACCATGAGTCATCAGAAGGGTTTGCTTCCACTGCTTCCAGTCCCCAGGTCACAGATGAAGTCTAAGCAGCATTTCAGAGCTGGAAGGGGTTCAGAAATTCTAGTAAAACCCGGCTAGTGCCTGGGCATCCAGAGGCAAGTCACGGGTAACACTGCGTTGATGCTCAGAGGCCGTTCAACACCTCCCAGCTCCCCAGCTGTATAGCTATAAAAAGGCCCAAAGTCACAGAGAAAATGTATGTGCTACCTGGAAGAAACCCTGGTGGTACAGTAGTTAAGTGTTTGGCTACTACCCAAAAATCAGAGATTCAAACACAACAGGTGTTCCATAGGAGAAAGATGAAGCAGTGTGCTTCTGTAACTGTGAACCCAGTTACTGTGAGTCAGAATCGATTGCACAGCACTGGGTTAGAATCCAGCTCTCCTGCATTCCAAGCCAGCATTCTAAATCACCATGTCCCAACATGGAAAGTTTAGATTCCTAAACCAAATACTACTGAGAACTGAGAGTGGCCGAGCCCTACCTGGTTAACAGTATCAGGAGGCTCACCTTAGACCATCTCTTAGCTCATCCATTTCGGCCTTCAGCACTCCAGAAAGGGGCGGGCTAAGGGAAGGTGGTGGCTTCTGGAACAGATCAAAGTCCACGTGGCGCTGCTCCCAGCCCCAGCCCCTGTGGTCCAGCCCGGGCTCCGGCTTGTTGTCAGGCAGCAGGGAGAGGGTGTTAGACGGGAGCTGGTCCTTATGGGCAGGCTCCCTGGTAACCTGCTTCTGCCTGTGGACCTCTTTGAGCTCTTCGGTGAAGCAGACAGGGGGCAGACTCAAGTACTGGCTATCCCCACGACCTGGCACGTGGAATCCACTGGCAGTGAGCCAGGCCTGGCGGGATTTCTTCTCAGCTTTCTTCTGCTCAGCCTCCCAGTCATAGGGCTCCACCATGGCTGAGAGGTAATCCTGTGAGTATGTGAACCTTTTCCTTGGCTCCTGGAAAGGAGAGAGGAAACAGACCTGAACTTAAGGGCTGGCAGGAGGATTGGTTAGGGTTAACTACTCAGCATGTTTCCAAGTATGTGTTGACAGCGATAAGCATAGTGGCAGTTCCTGACCTCAGTGCCCTCAGTTCCCAGAACTATGCAACTGTATGGCCCCCTTTTATGAAGACCAGTTGTCTGAAATTGCTTTGTCTATGCCAAGGCTTTTCCATGTGGAAGATGGCACACACTGTTCATGAATAGAAATACCTTACTGCAATAAGGAATCTGTAGTGGATTTCACCCACTGTGTCTGCTCATATGTTGGGGATCTCCTTGGCTCACCCTTTGGCCTCTCCCAGCATCTGAGCCCTTCCCTGTCAACTTCCCCAAAAAACTGGCTTCCATCTTGCATACCTGAGATCACACTCACCCACCCAGCTTCTAGGCAGGTATGCTCAGAAAGGGAAGAGCTCCCTGATAAGCCAACTGCCATTATTCCATCTGGAATCAGAGCCTCTCACTATTTTCCACTCTGGACTCACCTTGGCCATTACTCGATAGAGCTCCTTCTTAGCCAGCTCTGCGGAGTTTAGAGTCTGGATACTGTAGTTGTAGACAGGGCCGTTGACAGGAGCTGAGATTCTAATCACCTTCTCCACAGGCTTTTGAGGCTTCCTCACCTGAAAGGCTTGGGCAATATTTCTCTGAAGAAAAGAGACATCAGTCACAACCATATGGATCTCTCCATAGCTAGCTACCAGCTTGTAATATTGATGAAATCTCTGGGACATACTGGAGCAGCAGAAATGATTCTTGACTTGAAATTAAACTCTTGCTATTAATTCATCATTGAACCTTCAACAAATGAATAGATAAAAAACTATAGTTCAAAAGGATCCATCTATTATTTAGTTCAATCTCAGATTATCCAGAATGGATTTCAGAGGCGCAAGAAAAGGAGTTTGAGACTTTAAAGGTCTCAGTTACAAGATCACAAATTGCCTGGACATTTCTTTTTTTTCTAACATAAAGACGTGAAACAAGATGACCTGTCAGCTTTCTTTGTGAACATCTCTCCCTTCCTTGCTTTTTCAAAGAACACAACGTAAGTTTACAGACAGTGGTGCTGGGACCCATAAAAGAAAGAAAAATTAAGAGTGACAACCACTCTAAAGTGTTCCATTTATTTCATTTGTCTATTAAACCTTCAGCATAATAACTTCTTTTCCTTTAAAACACAAGAAGGTGATCTTTTTTTTTATTATTATTATTTTGTGTGTGTGTGTGTGCGTGTACTGTCAAATCAGATCTGACTAGTACAGGAGGTGATTGTCCCTCCTTTTCCCGGCAGAGCATCTGGAAGAAGGTGATCTTAACCCACATGTAAACTATCTTTGGGCCAAACCCCAGTAACATTAGAGTCTGGAGAATTTCTGAAAAGAGGGAGCAGTGAAAGGAAGAACAAATTAATCTCCGATTCACACATGAGAGAACAGACATCAAGAACAAGTGGAACAGAGCAGAGGACAGAAACTGACCCTGTCACTGGATGAAGGCAAAGATCTCTGAGCACCTTCAAGATTGTGCTAGAGGAGATATGTAGAGCTGGGATCCTTCTGTCCCTGCACAAGGCTCCAGTATTTTTTAGTGCAAGGACTGGTCTAAATTAGCCTGGCATTACCAGAAGTGTGCTAGAGCTGGTGAATTACAGTTTGAGGAGATAAGATTCTTGAGAAATGCATCCATTTGAGAAATAACACCCACTGTAAAAAGAAAGACCACACCCATGTTTATCACTATAGCAAAGAGATGGAAGCAACCCAAGTGCCCATCAACAAATGAATAGATAAAAAACTATAGTTCAAAATGGAATACTATGAAAATTGAAAAGCAATGAAATAGTTAAACATGCTACATGGGGGAGCCTTGAGGACATATGCTAAGTGAAATCTCAGTCACAAAAGGATAAATACTGCATAACAATGCTGTTATGAAACAGAACAGATATGGGGGGTAGGGGAGAATGGAAAGCATGGCTAGGTAATGAAAAATGCATTGGATCAGATGAGGGGAAGAGTTGTCCATAAGGAGTATGATGTGTTTAGACATTATATGTATGAGAACAATCTGGAACGAAGAAGGCATTGCAAGGAGGGCTTGGGAGGGAAGAAGTGGGGGGAAGAAAATGTGCAACAATGAAAAAAAAATTATTCTCAATATTAAAGGTTAACAGGTCCTTTTCCTAAGGCAACATGTCATTTGATTTCTCAACTGCCGCTACAATGAATGTTGACGGGGATACAGGTATAATTAGTTCTTTGGTAACTAATCTTTTCTCCATTTACCAGGATGCTGTCTATTGGCTCAGTTTGTGAGAATTTTTATTTTCTTTATGTTGAGGTGTAATACATAATGATTGTCCTTGATCATATGCTACTTCCTGAAATGGTTTAATTTTGATCAACTTTTTTTTTAACATTTTTACTTTTTATTTTTTACAACTTTTTTTTTCTTCCATCTTCCTTTGATGTCTTCTGTATTATTCAATAAATACTGGATATCCATCGGCTCCTTCAGTATTGTAGCTTGAGGTTTGAGGGCTTGTTTTTTTCTCTTCAAGTTTTATCAGCTTGAGAAATTCCAAGCATGTTCTTCCCTTTGGTTTTCTGACCCCAGGTCTTTGTAAATTTTAAATATGTTGCTTTGTCACCTCAAACTACCCTTTGAAATCTTCTGTTCAGCTCTCTTCATCAGTTCTTTTTACTTAGGTCTCTATGTTCTACAATAAGCTTCAGAATCTCTTGATAACCAGTTTGGTCTTTCTTCCTTATCGTTTTAATTAACTTTTATTTTCTTCATAGATGATGTCCTTGTCGTGATGCACAACTCATTTGGTCTTTGGTTATTAATGTTCATTGCACCAAATCTAGATGTAGTTTCTCAGATCAGGAGAGATATACTCAGTCATATTTTGGGTCTCATAGTCTTTTCTTCATTTTCTTCAGGTTCAATTTGAACTTTTTTCCCCCTTGTGATTTTAAAGTTTATAGAAAAGTTGAATTTTCATTCATTCATTTTCGCAAATGTTCCTCCCTACCTCCCAGTTCACTTTAATTTTGTTTGTTTGTTTGGCTTTTTGTTATGTTGTCAAGTCAGATCCAACTGGCACAGGAGGAGATTGCCCCTCCTTCTCCAGCAGAGCATCTGGTGGATTTGAACTATGCTCCTTTGGGATTGTAGCACAGCTTCTTGCCACTAGGCCACCAGAGCTCCCTCCTACTAGTTCTTTTAAAAAAAATCATTCATTGTTGCATAATTTCCTCCCTCCCTGCCCCCATCCACTTTGCTACACCCCTCTTATTCTGGGCCGCTGTCTGTAGTCACCCAATGGAATACTACACAGCACTGAAAAACAAGGAACTCATAAAGTATTCTCCAACATGAGTGACCCTGAAGAATATTATGCTGAGTAAAATATCTCAGTCACAAAAGGACAAATACTGCATTATATCATTGTTATAAAATAGGACTGACATGAGGGTTGGGGACAAACTAAGAAAAGAGGGGATAAATAACACTGCATTGAAATGAAGGAAAGAACTGTTTAAAAGGAATGTATAAACTTCTGCATGATCATTTGATGCCTTTGAATTGTGGTGTTGATGAAGAATATTGAATATACCATGGACTGCCTAGTGAACAAACAAATATTTCTTGGACAAGTGCAGCCATGTTAGCCTCACATCCTTTGAATGTGTTATTGAGAGAGGCTAGTTCCTTTCTTGAGATGAGTTTATCAGTAAAAGAGAAGAAGACCCTCAACTAGATGGACTGGTGATTGCAACAGTGGGCTTAAGCACAGCAGAGATTTTGATAGTGGTGTAAGATCAAGTAGGCTTTTGCTGTGTTATACACAGGGTGGTTGTGGAGTTTATCATTCAGCATGGCTTTCTTAGCCACTGAACTTGACTCTGCCATGTGGATGGGTGGGAATTAGTGAATAGGGCATGTTAGCCTATCCAAAAGGTGATTGGACAGTTTCACCAATCTACAAGGCGATTGGCTAGTCTCGCCAATCAATTGAGTGGCTCCAGCAGCAGATTAGAACTTCCACATGAGCAGAAAGGAGAAGCAACAAGAAAATGTAGGACACCCTTCAGGACCAGACATTCTTGCTCCAGCTGCAACTATGGCAACAGCAGCCATAGTTGAAGCAGAGGACCAGGGAGACCTGGAATGAGACAGAGGTGACTGCTACCCCACTATGGACAGACCCAGAACTAAGCTAAGAGCTTTTGCTCAAGTTCGTTGGGTAGTTTAGGGGATGCAGGACAGAGAGCCAATATTGGCAGGACTGAGAACTTTGTAACACTGGTCTAAAGCCATGAGGCTCAAGGCTGAGGTGTCTGTGTGGACATTTTGGAAGCTGCACCATATTCTGTGACTAATTTGTATTTTTACTTCTCCAATGTGGTTCTGTGTGCTCTGTGAACCATCACATCAGATTTTGGACCCAGCAATGCAGTAAGATTGATGTTCAGATGAGTAGGAGGAGATATGTGAGTGTGGGGGACATGTCTGACCTCATGAGAATTGGGGTTTTGTTGATATTGTTGATGGGGACAGTTCCTCTTTGTAAAGTTGGTAAAGGTCAGATATGGCTGTCCCCACCTGACCCTTCACCTTTTTTCTGTAGCTGTGAGTCAGAGCTGATTCAGTAGCATGTAACGACAATAATCTTGACTGTTTCCTTCTGTCTTCTAGATTTAGGTTTATTTTGCTTTCCTGCCCCCCCCCCAGTTCTTTGAGGTATGTAGTTACTGATTTGTGATTATTTCCTTTTTAACCAAGGTGTTCACAGCTGTAAATTTCCTTGAGAGTTTTATAGAAACTTGGAATATCAGCAAATCAATTCAAGCCATGTATTAAAAGAATGCTAGATCCTACGTACATTGTGTTTATTCAAGAATTGAAGACTGGCTTAATACTTGAAAATCACCACATTAACAGAATAGAGGAGGAAGCTCACACACACATGCCCCATTCTTCAGCATAGAACATATGCTAAGGCCACAAAACCAAGTCTTAAAGGTGAAAGAATAAAAATTCTCTTTTCAGACCACAATGGAATGAAGTTATAAATCAATAACAAAAGGAAAACTGAAAAGATACTACCATTTATCATAAATATATAAGGTACCTTTACACAAACTGACAAATAATATATATGTAAGACCTACTGAAAAGGAATGCAAAGCATTGCTGAAAGATACTCAATGCCACTGGGTCAAAACTGACTCGTGAGTGACTCTCCAGCAGGTTTCTGGACCAGAGGAGACTGCCCATCTCTCGCAGAGCTTCTGCTCATAGATTCAAGCTCCCAGAGAGGGTGACCTTTGACTTAACAGGGCAACTCCCTAAGAACTCTGTTACCAGGACTCCATGTAAAAGATACTAACAACTCAATACTTCAAGCTTCAAGTTGGAACCAACTCATAACTGACCTTCCAGCAGGTTCCCAGAGGCTGTAAATCACAAGGAAAGAGACTGCCCATCTTTCTCAGAGCAGCTCGTGGGTTTGAATTCTATTACTTTGGGTTGGCAGCCCATCAGAGCTCCCTCAGAGATTCTAAAGGAGGCCTAAATAATTGTGTTACATATATAAATAACCTGTGCTGTTGATTCTGACGCAGGTGTGTCAGAGCAGAACTGTGGGTTTTCGATGGTTGAGCTTTGACAAAGAACCCCCACACACAAATCTTTTAAGCCTAGAAGAGATTATGCTAACAGTTGTGAGGGCTCACATCTTAGGTGGTTGTTTTTAATTGAGTCTTTTATGGTCCATCAGAGAGATGGACAATGACTAAGAATGACAGAAGAATTGATGCCTTTGAGTTATGGTGCTGGGGAAGAGTCTTGAACATACCATGGATTACCAAGAAAACAAACAGGTCTGTCGTGGAGAGGGTGAAACCAAGTTTCTCCTTGAAGGCTAGGATTTTGAAGCTCTGATGTACTTTGGGCAAGTGGCCAGGAGGGACTGATCCTTGGAGAAGACATCATGCTTGCTAGGGTGGAGGGACAGTTCCGGAGAGGATGAGATGATTGATACAGTGACTGGAGCAATGGGGGTAGGTTTGTCAGAGTCAGTAATACTGGCTTAGGAAAGGTCAGGCTTCAGAGCTGTTGTGCATAGGGTCACTATGGATCGCAGGCGACTTGATGGCACATAAAACTACATTTTTGGTTGGCAGAGGGATGTGGGAGGTTCTCCTTTGTCATTCAGCCCACATTGCCTTCCATTACCCTACCAAATTCTCCATCTCCTTTTCCCCCCCAACCGTCTTATTTTCTCAGGTCAATGAATTAATTTCATTCTCTCCTTTTGTCACTTGGACACTATCTGACACCCATGGTCTTTTTTTTTTTTTTTTTAACTACACAGGATCTTATTTTGCACTGCTATAACAATTTCGTTATAGGATAAGGGAGGGAAAAAAGGAGGGGATAAAACCACCACAGTGAATAAATTACTAAAGCTTTTCTACTTTTTAACAGGATTTTCCCTCCAATAGACTTATTGTCATATCCCCTTCAAAACAGACAGATGCTTACCAATGTTTAAAGGATTACAGGTTGCCACTGAAAGAAAAATTTTACACAGTCACTGTACATTAAGGTTGAAAACTGTCCTGCATGAAAAATATACTTAGAATTCATGTAGATAGAAGAAAACATTATTGTGTTTAAGGAAAGATTAAAGTCCCCATAATATACCATGTAAATGTGGATCTTCACTCTTCTTGGAGTTGCTCAGATGGAGAGATTCCTCACTTCGGCTCTTTTCACTCTGTATACTGTGTTTCTAACCAGAAGTATTCATTAAGGCAAATAAGTCCTTTTCTGAGAGGTCTTAAGGAAATCATGGGCCAATAGCAAACTTCTGGCATCAAAAGAGATTAATACCATACATAGCCTTTATTAATAGATATTAAGCATATTTTTCTTGGACTAGTCACAAGAAAAGATGAACATGCTTGTTAACAATGTCAAAAAGTTGGGGCGCTCTGGTGGCCTAGTGGCAAGGAGCTGCAACTACAATCCCAGAGGCGAATGGTTCGAATCCACCAGATGCTCTGCTGGATAAGGAGGGACAATCTCCTCCTGTACCAGTCAGATCTGATTTGACAGTACACGCACACACACACACACACAAATAAAAAAAAAAAAACAATGTCAAAAAGTTTCTAATTCAGAGCCCAAGTAATCCCTAACAATACTTCTGTACCTTTAAGCCCTAAACAGTTTAGAGTTTATACCAATGCATTAAAAAATTCAAGCTTGGCAAATTACACCTAAGCAGGTTATTAAACTATATGTACAGAAAGGAAATAATAAATACAGAATTAAGAGACCTTCTCTTTTTCTTTATAGCCTTGAAAACTGACAAACTTTTTGAGGACAGTTCTGTAATACGAAACAGTAGGTAATCACAGGTGTTGAGAAACCTACCTACACAAACGGAAAATACTCAAGGTGATAATACCATTCAGTTCATAGTCAAGGGCACAAGACAACATGTAACAAAAAGAATCACATCAAATAGCCTAGGAATCAAATGTAAATAGTTATGAATACAATCTCCAAAATCTGTCCTTTTTTTAGTGAGCATTAACTATTTATTCAGAGTTAATACAAGGAATGTGAAGGAGTTAAGTCCTCTGTGACAAAGCCATTTTGAGTAGTTTCATGTCAGCTGAGCAGGTGAGAGTTCTGGAAAGGACCACTGAGGAGACCACCAGGAGGCCTCGTGTGGGCAGCGAGAGGGTAGACACTCAGCAGCCGCCTCCAGCCTGCGGGCCTCCCTGACTCCCTGCCTGGGTGGCATCAGTAGTAGAAAGCTGAGGGCCAGTTTTAATGCCATTTGCCTCATTATCAATGTAAAAAAAATGTCTTCTTGGATTTTTCCATAAATTTCTTTTGCTGTGTTAATAAATGTCTCTTCTACATTGGGAGCCATCTTGGCTGAAGTTTCCGTGAACGTAAGTCCATGCTCTTGTGCAAAAGCTTCACCTTTTTTTACCTGCCTTCTAGATTCTAAATCACTTTTCTTTCCAATAAGCATAATGACCGTGTTGGAGTGCTGGTGGGCATCTTCTAACCAGGAAGTGGTTAAAGGTATCTCTCTCCTTGTAATATCATATGTACAGCACCTCTGTAATATGACCTTGTGATGGAGCGAAAGGGCTCTTGCCCTGCCCTATCTCATATCTGAAGTTTGATCTGTTTTCCGTCAATAGTTATCATTCCAGCACCAAACTCTACACCAGCAAGAAGGTCATGCACAGGCCGAAACCTCTTGTCTGTAAACTGTAGCAACAAGCATGATTTACCAACACCTATGTGGCCGATGATGATGTATTTGGAGAGATAGGCATGCACCATGGCCGAGGCCACTGAGTGCCTGGCACACGCCTCCTCCGGCTGCTACTGCCCCTCCTCCACACCTCACCCCTGAGCTCACCCTTCAAACGTCAGTCTCCACCTGCCACTGTGCTCAGCCACCAGCATTGAGGAGTCGAGACAAAGAGGGACAGACTGACACCAGAGGAGCGAGGCATAGACGGCACCCGGGTGAGCCCAGCCTGACCATCGACACCCATGCTCTTAACAGTTTAGCAAGATGTTATTCACATACATGATGGTTCTCCAAGATCAATTCTGGGGCCATGGTAATGGTAATATACCCACACCCAAGGGTTTCTTTTCTCACCATTAGGAACAATGTGATAAACCAGCGCTGGGAGCAAATGCTTCTGGCATGGCTCACCTCTTCTGTGGCCTGCCCATCCAGCCCAGTAAGAGAGCAGATAAGGTTGTGTGCTCGGCTCAGAAATGTGCTATACACCCTGCTTCTTCTCAGCAGGGGACTGGACAGCCAGCCCGTCTAGTCTGACACCCCCGAGGACCCTGACCTAGGGGAGGAGAGGATGCCCACCTGGATCAGGCTGCTCTCACGTTCTTTACTCTTCAACAACATGCTGGTCCGCCACTGCAGATACTTCTCCTGGTGGGTCTGGATCTCAGAAGGGAGGGAGGGCTTCTGCCTCGGGGACTGTTTAAGTTTGGGAGCAGGCTGAGAAGGCAGGGTAGGTAAATTTTCATCTGAAAGGTCTTCCTGGGAGACGGGTATCCCGAATTCCTGGTTCAGGCATTTCATCACGGCAGAGGAAGGTAACAGGTGTCTCGCGACCACTTCACTGAGCTCAGTGCTGTCCTGGCAGATGTAGTGGAGGCTGAAACACACAAGGGCCGTGCCGCTCGGCTCAGAGGATCAAACAGCTCTCCTTACACAGCCCACCCGTCTGCCCTGGGAACTTCTGGATACCTGTCTCCGGGCCTAGCATTCTCTGGGCATCTGATTAACCCTGTCCGTCTCAGGACCCCAGTTCACTGTCTTCCAGTGATGCTGAGTTATGGCAACTCTCCCCCGATGTGGTTTCTGAGCTTGTAAACCTTTGCGGCCAGAGACTGTGCATCTTTCTCTTATGGAGCATCGGTCAATTCCAACAGCCAAGCTTTTGGGTACCAACTCACCATGTTATGCACTACACCACCAGGGCTCCTTGGGATGCAACAAGCACTTGACAACTTTTCTCCCATCGCCTGATAACAGACCTCAACTACCTTCAGTCACGAGCTGGCATGACCAGCCTCCTCGGACTGGCTGTCAAGGCTCTGGACCCCAGATCTCAGCATCTCCCCACTAGACTCCCCACAGCACAGCACCCATGGGCCCTGCTAGTCCCACCATTCTAGGCTTCCTCAGTCTGTGCTTGCCCAGCTCCTTGGCAGAGCTGAAGGTGAGAGAAAAAAAATATCCTCTCAGCCTTTCTCCTCCTGCCTTAGTAATACCTTCAACAGGCACTAGCTGAGGGCTGACTCAGGGTAGACCTGATGCTGACTCTGAAAATACAAAGACATGGTTTGTACCTCTAGTCTCCCTCCCTGCAGTGGGTGAGCTGCCCCCCCAGTGCATGCTCGCTTGCTGCCTCTCGACGCCCACCCGTGTGGAACCTCCTCAGAGAAACCTCATTCTGCTTTCTGACTGGTCGGCCCACTGAGCCTGGGACAGGCTGTCATGGAATCCCAGTATACCCCACTCTGCTTTCTGTTTTAGAATTCTCCCCCCTCCTAGATGAGGGTTCCAGACAAAAGGCAGAGGCCTGATGTCTCCAAAACTCCTCTTACAGCAGATTGTTAAGTGGTTGTTTACCACATAGGTAGAGAAGACCCAGGAGCACTGGCTCAACAGAGGGTTTCTTAGTAGCAGAGAAGCATCACAACTGAAGCCCAAGAAAAGTCTCAGCCAACCCGGTGATTAGTATGTCCCAGCAACCAGAGACCAAGACAGCAGGTACAGGAAGCGATTGGCATTTGAGCAGAAGTAGCAAATAAAATTTTTTAAAAAGATTCAAATACTCAAAGTTCTTAATTTTTGAAAAAGGACCCTCTGGGGGAGGTAAGTATGATAGAGGATTTAGGAAAAAACAAACAGGAAAAGCAATTATTCAATTGGGAAGGGAAGCTGCTATGTCCTGGCTTATTCAATGGATCTAGTCCTCCACCACTTCCCCATTCCTACCTCAGAAAATGAACCCTCGTCAGTTGGTTGCTCCAAAGGCTAGTCTAAAGCTATAGTTCTCCTTTCCCCAAGAACAGCAGACAGGGTAGATTTATGACATGTCTGAAGCTTCTCAAACAATCTGGGGAGATCATGTGGAATAGAGGGGGGAAACAGTCTCTGGGTTCACCTTGATCTGGACTCTGCTCCAAGCTCAGCTTTTTTGGTCACAGAAAAAAAAAAATATGAACTGCATCTCAGTCACCCTTAGAGCAGCCTGGCCAAGCAGGCACGTCACTGCTTGGCTGTCCCGAGGGGCAGTGATCAAGGAGCCTCACCTGAACAGAGCCTTTAAGGTCTCCGGTGGCACTCGGTTCCGGATATAGAGCTGGGGGTTCTTCATGAGGAGAGATAGGGGCTTGAAGAGGTGCACATTGTACAGGATGGACTCCAGGTCTGCGTAGAGGCGGTGATGGAACCAGATTTCAGAGTCATAGAGTACCTTATACTTCCCGTCTTCTGATTCGAGAGCTCTGTGAGAGAAAGCAGAGAGCTGAGAGCTTTTGCTGTTAGACTGAACCTTGCTTAAGACATTTGGTTCTAGGAGTTCCAAACAGGTTCCAAACAGAACCTCTACAATAACCTCTTAGAAGCTCTAAGATGAATTTTCTAATTTGGTTATCAAATCTAGCTAGTCCTGAAGGTGTTGATGGCTTTGCCTCCATCAAAAAGAGGACTCTACTAATCCACGGCATGAGATGGCAATATTAGTACCTTAATGTCACCACCAGATCGAGTATTTGGGAGAAGTGAGGCTCTGAATGATTGTGTGTTTGACACTTTTGTACAATTTAATTACAATAAAAAGTAGCAGAAAGCTAGCTGGTTGGTCCTACTTAAACTAGCTAAAGAAAGAAATGTGTTCAGGGCTTCTAAGTCACAACTCAAACATCATGTGTCAATGCTGTGATGTGCTTTCGAGTCTGGGCCAAAATCACACAGGAGGAGACCGCTTATCTTTCTACTGTGGAAGAGGTGGTAGATTCAAACTGAATGCCTTTGGGTGGACAGCATAATTCCTCACCACTCGGCCACCAGAGCTCTTTCAACCATCATGCAGAAACAGAAGTTTCCATTTGTGCCTGAAAGCCTTTCTTCTTCTGTAGTAACAGGGCTTACTTACATTGCTAAAAATAAAATTCAGAATCCTGCTGTTAAGAGTGGCTGATGTACAACTTCAGTTGAAATCTCAACCTCAGATGGTGCCAGAAGCGAAAATGAAAGCTTTGATGGGGATGAAATGGGATCTTGAAATTCGGGATGGGAGTATATGGGTAAATAATCAGAAGCTGAGAATAGTGAGACATTAAATCCCAAAAAGGTTTGTTCCAAGAACTAAAGATTTATAATCAAGTCACTCTGGCATGAAAAGACAGAGACTAATCACACAAAAGTGCCCTGTGTTCAAGGAAGGCTGAAGACCACCTCCCCTGAACACAAAATCTACTAACCATCACAAGGAAAGATTATGAAACAGTCTTATCAGACTTCTAAGCCCTTCCTGCACATTCTAGCCTCATTAAACCTTCCCTCACATTTCCTTTCTCCTTATCTACCTCCTTAAAGTTATTTATTTAAAAAGTCTGACTTTGTCTGAAAGGTCAGATGGTCTTTACCTGCTGTTTCTCTCAGATCACCAACATCTGAATAAAGCTTGCTTAATAGTGTGGATCTTTGTCTTTACACAGTGTACGTGTAGCCTCAGGCAGCAGAACACCATCCTTTTCTGGCTACACTTTGTTACACTCACAATATCAATTCAACTAATGGAGGGTCTTCTCCTTCACTGACTCTCTACTTTTCAAAGCATGATTTATTTGAGGATTGGCCTCTTGTGATAACATGCACACAGTAGGTGAGTCAAAGACTCACCGTAGCTTCCAAAGAAGCCCCTAGCTCTACATCTTTCATGTATTTCAGTTTCTCTATCTGTTAATTTTTTTTTTTACAGAGGTTTTGGATTTCCATTCATTCATTGCCGCATTTTTCTCCCTGCCCACCCCTCCCCACCAGCTCGCGTCCCTCTCCGAAGAGAGAAAAAAAATAAAAAAATTCCTTCATTAATATACAATTCCCACGTCCCTTCCCCCCACCCCCC